TAATAATTAGCTAGGGCATGGATGGTGCATGCTATAGTCCCAGCTCACTCGGTGAGGCCTGAGCAGTAGAATCTGCTTGAGCCCAGGAGATCTTGAGGTTGCGTGAGCTAGGCTGACGCACGGCACTCACGCACTCAGCCTGGGCAGACAAACGAGACGAAAGAAAGAAAGAAAGAAAGAAGAAAAGAGAGAAGAAAGAAAAAAGAAAGGAAGAAGGAAGAAGAGAAGAAGAAGAAAGGAAAGAAAGGAAAGAAAGGAAAAAAGGACAGAAAGGAAACGAAAGGACAAGAACGAAAGAAGGAAGAGGAAAGACAAGGAGGAAAGGAAAGAAAGGAGAAAGAATGGAAGAAAGGAAGAAAGGAGAAGAAAGAAAGAAGAAAGGAGAAAGAAAGAAGAAAGAAGAAGAAAGAAGACAATAAAAAGAAAGAAGAAGACAAGAAAGACAAAAGACAAGAAGACAGAAGACAGAAGAAAGACAGAAGAAAGACGGCCGACGCGCTTGGCCAACGGCCTGGTAATCCTAACCTTGGAGGCCGAGCGGGCGAAATAATGCTAAGCCTCAGGATTCAAAACCAGCTGAGCAAGAGCGAACCCGTCTCTACTATAAATAGAAGAAATTAATTGCCAACTGATATATATAATATATATACAAAAAAATTACTGGCATGGTGGCGCATGCCTGTAGTCGACCCCAGCTACATGGGAGGACTCGGAGGGAGAGGCAAGGAGGACATCAGCCTTGAGCCCAGGAGTATTTGAAGTTGCTGTGAGCTAGGCTGACGCACGCACTCATCTATGCCATGACAAAAAGTGACGACCTGCTCTCAAAAAAAAAACCAGAAAGGAAAGAAAGAAGAAAAGAAGAAAAGCAAAGAAAGCAAGAAAGAAAGAAAGAAGAAAGAAAGCAAAGAAGAAAGAAGAGCATAAACATTAATTCAATAAATTAGACAAAATAGCATAAACAATTTAATTCCAATAAATTAGACAAATTAGATGAAATAGACAAATTCCTAGACAGATAAGAATTACCAAAACAGAACCATGAAGTAGAAAGTCTGAATAGCTCTAGCACATGAAACTGAATTTGTGATTAAAAATCTTACCACAAAGAAAAGTCCAGGCATAGATAGCTTAATTAATGAAAGTTATCAGAATTGATAGAAATAGTACTAATCCTATGCAAGTTCTTCCAGAAAATAAAGGAGATGAGAACACATTCCTATTCATTTTTAGGCCAATATACCCTGATACAAAGCTAAACAAAGATATCACAAGGAAGAACACTATAGACCACAATATTCTTTATGAACATAAATGTAAAAATTCTTAACAAACTATGAGAAAATCGAGTCCAGCACCATATAAATAGAATTATACACTAAGCAAGTGGGATTAATCCTAGAAATGCAAGGTTGGTTTCACATCAAAAAATCAACTAATATGACACAGAATGCATAGAATGAGTAAATTTGACAGAATTACAGAGAATTAATTTCAGAAAGTGGGCCACTAAGTCTCTGTCTCCCCTACAGACTCCTCTGTCCCCTAATACATATCTGGCAACAATAAGGTGTGTGGTTCTATTTGCCAAAGGCATAGTTTCTGCCAAAATGGTGACTAAAGCAGGATCAACAATGGCTCCTCAGAAGGTAGTACTGCTGCCACTGACATCATGAGAAATGATTTGAAATCTTCCCACAGAGGAATAAAAATGTCAATTCCTAAAGTAGAGGATCCGTGTTTGATATAACTTATAAAGTACTCAGCACAGTGCCAAACAAATCTGCTGAACTCAGAAAAAGGTCTAGATTCAAAAGCAGTGACTCCACTGAAAATAATTACATTTCACCCCTTCGATTATAAGACCCTTTGAATTATAAGATCCACTCATTAAGGGCTTTGATTTCTGATTCTGTCATGATGATGATAAGCATTTAACCATTATTTTGAAAAGTTTGTTTCTTTTTAAATTTCTTTATACTACTCCCTCAACCTTTCATCCTTTTGTCTCTCTACTTTTCCTAAAATCTACAAATGGCACAGGTTCTATTACCTGAGTGAACCACCAGATGTTTTCGGAGGCTGGAATACTCAGCAAAGGAACGGCCACATCCTTGGGCTTCACAAAGGAAAGGCTTCTCTCCTAGAGACAAAAAAAATGAGATAAAGATTCAGTCATCTGATGAATTATTGCCCTCTTTTCCTACCAACTTTATTCTGTTTTTAATGACTGACTTACCCTGATTTCTTTAACTCACGCTATATAACTGGGCTACCTAGCAAGTGTTGCCTCTCAATGATCTTTAGTATACTGCCCAGCAGACAACCCTGCCCTTTACCTTAGAATGGTTGCCTCTGAGCCTCATACACTTCCCTCTACCTTCTGCCTCAAGGGCTGGGGAGCTGCACTGACCTACGTTCTTCAGTTATCCCATCCCCTCTGAGGAAATCCAGATTAACAGTGGATACACTGTCAGGGTTTTTACCTTACATCAATTCTTTTTAAGACTCCGTTTCTAGATCTATCTCAAGTACAGATTTTTTTTTTTTTTCCTGAGACAAGAGTCTTACTTTGTTGTCCGGGCTAGAGTGCCGTGTCATCAGCCTAGCTCACAGCAACCTCAAACTCCCAGGCTCAAGTGATCCTCCTGCCTCAACCTCCCAAGTGGCTGCAACTACAGGCATGTGTCACCATACCCGGCTAATTTTTTCTATATTTTTTTAGCTGTCCAATTAATTTCTATTTTTTTAGTAGAGACGGTGTCTCGCTCTTGCTCAGGCTGGTTTTGAACTCCTGACCTTGAGCGATGAGCAATCTGCCCGCCTCTGCCTCCCAGAGTGCTAGGATTACAGGCATGAGCCACGGCACCCGGCCTAAAGTAAAGATTTTTAAAGGTTATAAAATAGGTATTATATATTATGCCATTTTACACAGCAAACACATGAAAACAGATATTCAGTCACAGAGTTACACATACGAGTCTGTAATATTATAAAAGTGGTTCTATTTATATAGTGGTATTATGATTTATTTTTTTCTTTGTGCTTTTCTGTAATTTTCACTTGCAACAACACTACTTTGTTACTTTAAAAATCAAAGCTGCATAGTGCAAACTGAATGCGGTCTGTAGACTAGTTGACAATGGTAATTTTTTGATTTTAATATTGCTATGGCTACCTAAGAGGTCACATTTTAGGGAAGTGAGGTGAAGAATACACAGAACTTTGTACTATTTTTGCAATTTATGATGAGTCTATATATATATACATATTTTTTTTTTTTTTTTTTTTGAGACAGAGTCTTGCTTTGTTGCCCAGGCTAGAGTGAGTGCCGTGGCGTCAGCCTAGCTCACAGCAACCTCAAACTCCTGGGCTCAAGCAATCCTGCTACTTCAGCCTCCGTAGCTGGGACTACAGGCATGCACCACCATGCCCGGCTAATTTTTTCTGTATATATTTTTTTTTTTTTAATTTTTTTTTTTTTTTTGAGACAGAGTCTCGCTTTCTTGCCTAGGCTAGAGTGAGTGCCATGGCGTCAGCCTAGCTCACAGCAACCTCAAACTCCTGGCGCTCAAGCATTCCTCCTGCCTCAGCCTCCCGAGTACTGGGACTACAGGCACGAGCCACCATGCCGCTGATTTTTATATTATATATATTAGTTGGCCAATTAGTTTCTTCTATTTTTATGGTAGAGACGGGGTCTCGCTCAGGCTGGTTTTGAACTCCTGACCTTGAGCAATCCGCCCGCTCGCCTCCCAGAGTGCTAGGATTACAGGCGTGAGCCACCGCGCCGCCTTTTTCTGTATTATATTAGTTGGCCAATTAATTTCTTTCTATTTATAGTAGAGACGGGTCTTGCTCTTGCTCAGGCTGGTTTTGAACTCCTGACCTCGAGCAATCCACCGCCTCAGCCTCCCATAGTGCTAGGATTACAGGCCTGAGCCACCATACCCGGCCAAGTCTATAATTATTTCAAAATAAAAAGTAAAAAAAAAAAATTAAAAAAAACCAAAGATGCAGTCTCTATCCTCCAAGGATCACAGAATAGTATCAGAGACAAATGTATACATAAATAACTTTAATATAAGTTCCTGTACAAAAAAGTGCTATAAGCATTTAGAAGGGGAGGAATTCTAATTGCAGTAATTTTTGAAAAAAGCTGAATTCGAACTGGTCTTAAAAGATGACAAGGATGGAAGGGAATTTCAGGCACAATGAATAGTGGGAGCAGAGCCTTAAAACCAAGAGTGCTCAGGGCAAGTTCAAAAAATGGCAAGTGATACCAGCATGGTGACAACATTGAAGATGGACTTTGTAGGAGGGAGCAGCACTATTCTAGATTATGTTGTTCTTTTTTTTTTCCATGCATTTTTTTCCTTTTTGGGGGTGCAATGAGAAAGGGTCTCACTCTTTCTCATCTAGGCTGGAGTACAGTGGAACAATCATAGCTCACTGCATCCTTGAATTCCTAGGCTCAAATGATCCTCCTGCTTCAGCCTCCCAATTAGCTGAGACTACAGGCACGTGCCACCGTAACTGGCTAATTTTTTAAGATTTTTGGAGAGATGGGGTCTCACTATGTTGCCCAGGCTGGTCTCAAACTCCTAGCCTCAAGCAATCCCTCCATCTTGGCCTCCCAGAGTGCAGGAATTAGAGGCATAAGCCACCATGCCCAACTGTTCACACTGTTCTTTTAAACTGTACCACACAGTTTAATGTTTGTGATTTTCCAATGGTCTGTAACCTTTTTGAATGCCTCATCTCCACTCCAGAATGCTACATACTCAAAAAGTTGCTGAAAGAATGAACAATATACTAATACATATGAGGCCTGGTATGGTGGCTCATGCCTATAATCCTAGCACTTTGGGACGCCACGAGCTCCAGACTAGCCTGAGTAACATTTGAGACCCCCAACTCTACCAAAAAACCAGAAAACTTAGTCAGGTATGGTGGCATGCACCTGTGGTCCCAGCTACTCAGGAGGCTGAGGCAGTAGGATCCCTGGAGCCCAGAAGTTTGAGGCTGCAGTGAGCTATGATGACACCACTACACTCTATCCAAGGCAATAGAGTGAGACTCTGTCTCAAAAGAAAAGATTAACCAAGATGGAGGCTAGTGAGAGTTAGAATAAAGAAAAGAAAAACAGAAGAAAAATCAGGTCATAGTTTGATGTAAAAGAAAGCATTTTAAGACATTTGGTGTTATCAAATGCTACAAAAACGATGAACAGCACAATGATGAAAGGTTACCAAATTTAACAATAAAGCATAGCAAACTCTACTTCTTTCCTTATCTATTCAGCTAGATGGTTTTCCTATTCTTTCATTCAAATTGCTTTCTTGGAACAAATATACTCTTTTAAAAACCATCTAAGAACAGAGCTGTTCTGCCCCAAATCATATGCAGAGGTTATGTCAATCTAGAGAAAATCACAGGTTCATGCCTAGAATACTTGAGACTTCAGGTCAAGCTTCACTTTTTGAATGTCCTTTAATTGTACCTGCTGTCACTTTACCAATACAAGAATGAACAAAAAAGAAATAAAGTAGCACAAAAGTGGGGAAGAATAGTACACATTCTAAAATAGTGGTCTGGGTTCAGTAATTAATCTTTGGCAAGACATTAGCATATGTCAGACCAAGTGGCTTGGAATTTCATACATAGACTCTTAGACTAAGAGTCAAGGAATCTTTATTTTGCTCCTTTGATAGTAACATGCTGTGTGACCAGAACAAGTCACATCCCCATTCTGTTTTTCATGTTGTAATGCTCTAACAAGAAAGCATACTTCTCTAAGCCAGGGATATCTTATCTTTTGTATTTTTGCCCACCTTATCCTACTTAGTGTCTAGAACAGGCTCTGTATGGTTTTTGTGACTCAATAAATGTTACTGCTCAAAATTATAACTGTGGTGGCTCACACCTATAATCCTGGCACTCTGGGAGGCAGAGGTGGGAGGATTGCTTGAGCTCAGGAATTTGAGCCCAGCCTAAGCAAGAGTGAGATCTGTCTTTATTTAAAAAAAAAAAAAAAAAATTGTAACTGTGCAATGTTCAGAGATATTTGAAAACAGACTGACTTTGTCCATATCTCCTCATATCATAAGTATTTGAGAAGCTCTGACATTTCTTCCTACACATTAAATTCCTGGAGGCAGAAACACTGTCCATTCTTCACACACAGGTAAAAGTTAAATAAATGTTATTGTAAGTGCCATGAGGCATTTAAGGAAAAAAAATCCCATCTTCAGAGTTCTAGCAACAACCCTAGAACTTCATATGTATTCACACCTGAGCCTTTCCTAATGATAGGCCAATAAGCACTGAGCCAAGTAGGCTGCCTAAAGGAACGTTGGTCTGGCACACACCTGTGTGAATTCGTAAGTGGTTCTTCAGGTTTCCAGCTGTAGTGAACTGCTTACCACAGCTAGACTCAGGGCACATAAAGGGCTTCTCCCCATTGTGGGTTCTCATGTGCACCTTCAGCCTCTGTAGCACATAGAAGCTTTTCCCACAACCTTCTGCAGGGCAGATGAAGGAGCGGTCATTTCTGCAAAAATAATCATATAAGCAACAATACCTGAAAATACTCTTTGCTACAGATGACAAATCAAAGCTCCTACTGACTCTCAAAGCAAGGAGTAAATCTCAAACCTGGATATATCAGAATCACCTGAAGAGTGTGTTAGAATTACAGATGCCTTATACCTTCAAACAACCAAACTGATTTCATAAGTTTAGGATACAGGCCCAGGCTTATGTATTATTTTTTAAGTTCTCAAAGAAAACTATGTTTTAATAATGAGATTTGAGAACTCTTGCTTTAAGACATTTAGATGCCAATGTCTTATTAAATATTTATCAAGAATGAGATAAATGAGACAACGCAAATCCTTCTATTAAAGAACAAAAGACATCTTGAACAGAAGCTAGCCAAACAGAAGCTAACTAAAAAGAAGCTTGCTCTCCTTTGCCAACTGGGGGACCAGGCTCCTCTAGAAGCATCAATGTATGCATCAATATATCCAAGTATGAGATCCCAGATTTGCTCACCGATGAGTTTTGAGGTGGTACTTAAAGTGAGCTGGCCATACAAATGTCCGGTCACAGCCTTCAACTGTACATTTGAGCTTCTTTTCCACTTGAGGAAGGGGCCCAGAATCTTTGGGTTGCCCATCACCAGAACCAAGGTGGACATTTTCTCCTGTAACAGAGTCACATATTTATAACACAGGAAGGACCCTGTTCAGACACTTAGGTTCAAACAATAAAGCTCCAATATTTCACTCCTAGTGATCATTAATCAGAAATCCATCTTCATCTTCTCCAGCTCTCTTTGTATCCATTTAACAGAAATGAGAGGATTCTATATCCCCATCCCATTACTGCAGACTACCAAAAGCCATCATGCTTTGCTTCACAAGACTAAGCCTCTTTGACAAATTTAAATCCAAAATGGTTTTCTATCAGAAATCCCAGAAAGCAAAATTAAACCTATTTTGCATTGTACAGATTGGCAAGGAATCAGGTATATTAACACTCAGAGTGGGATGCTTAGAGAAATGACAAATTTCTTGGTAGTAAAAAACTATTTTAAGGAGAAATGGTCATTCTTGCTTAGTGTGGGAATATAGATTTCTTCCACAGATGGCCATTCTCATATGTTCATCTTTTGAAATCACTCTGGCTGTTTCCTATCATTCTGGAGAATAAGAACCGCCTTCCAATTTCCTGTACTAACCCTTTTAGTTATAAAATATTTAAGAATGCAAAACCTCAGATGACTTTAAAAATTTTTAACCACATTAGAAAAAAAGTTAGAGAAAATATCTACTGGAGTTTTGTTCAACAGATTAAAGGGAGGTGAGGAGTGGAGTACACGGTGCCTCCCATAATTTAAATAAAATCAGGTAATTAAAATTTTATATGAATTCCAGATTAGCAGGTGATGATCCTTTTCTGTCATTTTCTTCAAGACAGACTTGAAGATCAATAGAGAAAAAAAATCATAGTCAATTCTGCTATGAGGATATGGGTTTATCTTTCCACTATACATACCTTTGGAATAAAATTTGTATTTCCAAATTTCCCTCTCAAAAGGCAGGAGTACAATATATATGTTGTACTTACCACATTCCCTGGAAACTGACAGCTGATCAAAGGCAGTTTCTGATTCACCTATTAATCTCTTACTGCCCTACATTCTCCTTGCTATACTTTACCAAATACTAGTCATAAAACTAATTGCCCTAAAGTCAGAGCAGAACCTAGGATGCCTTCTGCTACTTATTAACTTTTTAATATTGTCCCTGGTTTTTAAATTTGTGTTAATGAAAAATATTTACACATAGGTAAAATTTAAACAGCACAAAAGTATATGTACCATAAAGGAAACTTCCCACCAACCCGAGTTCCAGCTAATTAATTTCTAATGAAAGGTCTGTAGAAACATCACACTAATCCAAAGATTTAAATCAGCGTGACTATTGGGACTTTGTATATTCAATTTTGTAGATACAATAATACTGATAAACATAAAACAGAAAAAAAAATGAATATATGATGTAAGAATCACTGGAATCTCTCCTTTTCAACACTGAAGATTAGCAATATATGCTCAAATATATGGCAAATTATTCCCTAAAAAAAGTCTTCAGAAAAGAGTTGACTTTTATTTGAGTTCTTACATAAGCACTCACTTAAAGGAGTGTTCCCTCAGTTACTGTTTTTGAAAACAACTGTTTGGGGAAGATAGATTAACTTAAAATAATCTCAACAAATGATAGTTTTGGATATTTAGAAGTTACCTGATGGAACTGATTAAATTTTTAGAGAGATACAAAGAAATTCAACAACTTATAATTGCCAAGTGTTGGATAATACTGTAAGTGCTTTAAAAATCCTATGTTATATGAGTCTTTGCATTTGAGATAAAATTCCAGTGAGGGTGTTATATATAGCAGGGGTCAGCAAACTTTTTCTGTAAGAGGCCCAGCAGGAAATACTTTCAGCTTTGCAAGCCATGTGGGCTCTGTCATGACTACTCAACTTTCCCGTAGTAGCAGCCATATACAATTTCTAACTAATGGAAATGCCTGTGTTCCAATAAAACTTTATTTATTAAAAAAGGTAGGGATTTGGTCCAAATGTCTTTGCTGACAGGACATACAGCATTATATACAAAATTAAAATATTTTGACCAGGCATGGTGGCTCACAACCATAATCCCAGCATTTTGGGAGGCCAAAGTGGGAGGATCACTTGAAGCCAGGAGTTCGAGACCAGCCCGCGCAACATAGTGAGACCTTGTCTCAAAAAAATGAAAGAAAAAAAAAAAAAGTTAGCCAGGCATGGTGGTGCGTGCGTATAGTCTCAGCTAATAAGGAGGCTGAGGGAGGAGGATCACTTGGGCCCAGCAGTTCAAGGCTGCAATGAGAGCTATGATATGACTGCACTACTGCAGTCCAGCATGGGTGCCAGAGCAAGACACTGTCTCTTAAAAAGTAAAATAAAATAAAATATTTCTGTATTTGAAGCAATTTAGAGGGAAGTGAAGATGATGTGCTCTGAAAAACGGTGATAGAGGAGTCACAAAGTGGTTTCAGTAATGACAATGACAAAGATATTTATGTTAAAAATGTATTAAAATATTAAATAAAATCATTTATTTTAATACATGTTAGTGGATGAAAAGCAACATTAACTATATTTTATACACTTTAAAATGTGTATGTATAACCAAAATCACAAAATTTCTCAAATAGCAACTTACAATGTTAATTTTATCTACATGCCTAAAGGTTTATAATATCTAAGAAAAAAGTTTTTAGGGTATCATCTTGTTGAGAAAATAAAAAATTGTCTTATATTTTGGGTAAGTTTATATTCAGGCATACATGGTAGTTGTTAAGGTAGTAAAGCAACATATTTTGAAAGAAAAACATCCACACAATGCTTTGCTGATTATAAAGCATTTCCCAGAAAGTATTTTATTTAATCTTCATAACAACCCAATCAGGTAGGCTGCCTGATCTATATTTCTGAACATGAGAAAACTAAAGGTAAGGGAGTTAAACTGCCTGAGGCAGGGAACTAGTAAATGATGGAGCCTGGTCTGGATTCCAGGTCCTCAGATTCTAAATCCCAAGCTCCCTCCATATACTGCTTCTCACTGGCAAATATGGCACTACTTCCTCAATGTAAGTGGAAATGCTGAAGGTTTCAGGATCCAGAGATTGGCAAACACATCTCAGGAAGAATCTGAACTTTAGAGTCCCCCCCAAGATGGTAAAATTATCTATTCTAAGCAGCATTATGGTAGTCACAAACAGAACTAATTATTTTGAAAACTAATAGAAGTCTGGAGTTCTCTGTGCAGGAAAAGATTTAGGTTAATGTTTCTAAAACTGGAATATTCTAAAATATTAGTAGGATCCTTGAGTTCTCTATGAGAAATTATTTTAACTTTTTGTTTTCATTTGAATAGTAATCAAAAAATCATAAGCATATTCTAGATCATCTATCTGCATTAACTCCAAACACCTGTATACTGACATGAGATTTCAGTGCTTAAGTTTAGTCTGTGATAATGATAATGTTGAACCATGTAGTACTAATTTGTCAAATATTAATTAGAAAATACAGAGGCAGATCTAAAACAAAAAGTATTAATGGCATACTACATAAGCAAATGTTTTGCAGTGGTCTGAATATAGCCATGGTTCTATTAAACTTTAACAAGTATCAGACCAAGTTTCTGATACAGTAGGTCTGGGATGGGAGTCTGAGAGTTACATTTCTAAGTTTCCAGATGATGCTGATGATCCAGGGACAATACTTTGAAAATTACTAGAACAGAGAAAAGTGGCACAGAGTAAATAGCATAGGTATGCTGAACTGGAAAAAAATAACATTAAAGCCATCATAGCTAATTATTAAATTTCCATAAGCAACAATTCTTTCAAAAAAAAGATAATCATCTGCCATATTTACTTAGTATTAATTTTATTTTCATTAGTTGTATAGTTTTATTCCTATTAATTGATAAAACTATTATGATTTCATGATAGTATAAAAGTTCTAAGTATAAGAAATTTACACAGAATTTATGATTTTATGTATTTAAGGGACATTACCATTCAAAGAATTCAAGATAACCCCAGGTCCTGGGAGTACTTTTTTTTCCTTTAAAAGAGGCTCTGTACCTTATTTAAAGTTGAGAATACAGAATACTAGTTTAGTTGATTTTGGACACAAATCTGACATGGCCAAGTTATTTTATGGAAAATAAGACCTAAGCAATTTACACATTTCTAACACTCTGCTCTCACCAATAAAATAATTTGAATTATACGCAATTGAAAACACAGCCATTGCATTATCAAAGTCTCTTTGCAGAGAACACTGGAAAGGAAAATGCCACGTGAGTCTCACCATTGCTGCTGGTTTTTGCACTCTTTGCCAATTGTGCACGAGTAGCAGCAATCAGACTGTCATGGGCCAACTCCTGAACCCGGAGGAACCATGGAATGCTACTGTCTGTACTTTCATTGGAGAGGAAATCATTCCCTGAATCTTCTGCCTCATCCTGTACAAAAACTAAGTGCTCAGCTGAAGAGCCCAGACCTGGAAAAAACAAGAAGATATATGAAAGTTAGCCATCAAAGTAATCCTTTCATTTGCCCTGGCTCAAAATCTTTCCATGTCATGAACCACCTATTCTAGATCTTCAACCCTCACCTCAAACTTCTGTGCTTATAGATGATTAGGCTATTACTTTTCAACTCCCATCCTGAAAGCTTGTTATTACATTGCTTCCTCTTGTTTCAGAGGGAAAGCTGTCCTTCCTGGTAATCAGACTAATACCCAACTCTAGTATCCCAATCTCATTCTTCCATTATTCCCTCCTTTCTCTTTCAGTTTTCTCCTCTCTCCCATCTGCAACCTATTCCTATTGGACAGCTTTTGTTTACAGCCTTTAAATGTGTAGGAGCTCAAGTTTCTTCCACCTTTATTTTTTAAAAGAATAGAAAACCCCAAGTACTTCTCTAGCTATTACCTTCTTACCTATTCTTTCAAAGTCAAATTTCTTGAACAAGTGGAAAGTGTACCTTTTAGTTTGCTTATCTACTTTCTCACCTTCCACATCCACTCACTCCCCATCTCCTTAACCCTGGCCTCCACCTCTACTACCCAAATAAATAATTGTTCTTGCTAAGGTCACCAGACACACCCTTTATCTCACTAGACCATCTTGTAGGATTTATCATGATTTAGTACCTTTTCTTCCTTAAAACTGTTTTCATTCCTTGGCTTCTTCCCCACCATTCTTTCCCAGTTCTCTTCATGTACTTCCAGCTGCTCCTTCCCATTTTTCTGTTGCCCTCTCACATGTTTTTTCCGCCAAGGTCTCAGACTTGCCTTCTTTTCTGTTTATGCTTCAGACTTCTTTTGCACCAAAACTACTTACTTCACACCAGACCTCTCTAGAACTCTGGAATCCTATTTCTAACTCTCTAAAGGACACCTCCTCCTGAATGTCCCTCTGAGATATCAACATCAACAAGCACAAGCTGGAATCAATCATCCTCCCCCAAGCCCTGTTCCTGTGCTATCTCAGATGGCACCATCAAATTTCCCAAATGAGAAATGGGAGTCATCCTAGAGTCCTCCTTCTCCTTCTCCACATTCAAATGGTCACCAGACTACATTAATTCTCAAAATAATAAAGCTTCTTTCCACTTTAAGTATGACTGAGTTAAATATGTCCCACCCCCTATTTTTTTCTTAAGCATGAGTTCAGAAAAAGAAAAAAAATACCTGCTCTTGTTAAGTTAAGAAGAATAAATGAAGTGCTATCACTTGGCTGTAGATCTTGCAACAAGCTAGGAGACTCAGGAGTGGACAAAAACTCTGTGGACTTCGGTACAGCCTGAGCCCTCGTCTCTTCTCCGTCTGGGCCCACATTCACCTGAAGGCTTCTCAAAACAGCCGAGGAAGGGACCTCCTTGGAGGAGTTAGTATGATTTGGAGTATCATCTAGCAAAGGGAAAATACCACAGCTTTATGTGTCATCTATCTCCAAGGGGCTCACCATTTCAATACATAGCACCTAATGCCCTTGTAACTTCCCTCAGTATCTAACATGCTTACAGAAGCAGCCAGCATTCTCATTTTACAAACACAAAATCTGCCTCAGAGAAGAACAAAGATGCCATTAAGTTCTAAAGATTGTCAGCCAAAATGTGAGGAACAGACTCTTCTGACACTTAGCAGTAACTAGTAACCAAACATTCACATTGGACATTACAGAATTTAGTCCTTTCTGAGACCAGAAATCAGTACTTTTTTCTTGACAAATATAGCTATCCAATGAATACTAAACTCAAGATCAGGATTTAAAATTTTTCTTGGAGAGTGTTCCCTGTCCTTAACTTTTACAACACATCCATGATGGTTGTGGTGAATAATTAGCAGGGGGAAAAAACACAGCCTGGGAAGCAAATACAATTTTACAGAATCATCAATATGTTTCATTGCAGTTCTAGGTTTTATACTGGATGTAAAGAAATAATTCAGAAGACTTCAAGAAATCTGTTCTAAAGGAAGGAAAGACTTTCCAAAGATTTGGGTTGTAATATAGTGAGGAACTGCACTACAATGCTGAAACGTTCGATGTTTTCAGGACTTTTCATTCATTTTTATAAAAGGCAGGGAACATATTTTCCTCATTTTAAGCAGATAATAGCTAAGATTATAGGAATAAAAGGGGATGGTACTGCCAATTTCATTCAGCATTGTGAATGTACTTAATGCTACAGAACTGTAAACTCAGAAATGGTTAAAAGGGTAATTTTATGTTATATATATTCTATCACCAAAGAAAGGATAAAGTTCATAGCAGCACTGTCTGTCATAGTACAACACTGAAAATAACTAAATATTCATCAATAGTGGCATGGATAAAGAAGTTGTGGTAAACTCATATAATACTATAAAGCAATGAAACCAAACAAACCAGCTACAAACTATAAGAATGAACCACACAAATATAGAGTAAAAGAAGAAAGGTAGGCTGGGTGCAGTGGCTCACACCTGTAGTCCCAGTACTTTGGGAGGCAAAAGGAGGGAGAATCACTTGAGGCCAGCAGTTCGAGGCCAGCCTGGGCAACATAGCAAGACCCCATTTCTACAAAAAACAAAAACCTAGCAGGCCATGACGGCATGTGCCTGTAGTCCCAGCTACTCGGGATGCTGAGGTTGGGAAATGCTTAAGCCCAGTTCAAGACTGCAGTGAGCTATGACCTAGCCACTGCACTATAGCCTGGGCAACAGAAAAAGACCGTGTCTCAAAAATAATAAATAAGGCCGGGCGCGGTGGCTCACGCCTGTAATCCTAGCACTCTGGGAGGCCGAGCCGGGCGGATTGCTCAAGGTCAGGAGTTCAAAACCAGCCTGAGCGAGACCCCGTCTCTACCATAAAATAGAAAAAATTAATTGGCCAAATTATATATAATATAAAAATCAGCCGGCATGGTGGCTCGTGCCTGTAGTCCCAGCTACTCGGGAGGCTGAGGCAGGAGGATCACTTGAGCCCAGGAGTTTGAGGTTGCTGTGAGCTAGGCTGACGCCATGGCACTCACTCTGGCCTCGGCAAGAAAGCGAGACTCTGTCTCAAAAAAAAAAAAAAATAATAATAATAATAAATAAGTAAATATAAATTAAAACTGGGAGAGAAAATTCAGGGGGAAAAAAGCCTAACAAAAATCAAAATCTATTAGCACCTGGAAATTTCCACATGTTGAAAATCCATAGGGGATTTGGAAAATATGACTCCCAACATACCAACAGAAAAATAGGAGTTGAGAGAAGGAAGGTGTGTAAGAGCTTTGATCTAGATAGGGAAACCTTAAATTAACATTGATTGGTTGAATATACCTGTCCTTTACTCTTTAAAAATGAAAAAAGTTGTTAAAGTCACTTCAAAATCAAACATGGTCAGGCATGGTGGCTTACGCCTGTAATCCTAGTGCTCTGGGAGGCCAAGGCAGGAGGACTGCTTGAGCTCAAGAGTTTGAGATCAGCCTGAGCAAGAACGTGATCCCAACTCCACTAAAAACAGAAAAATTAGCTTGACATGCCTATAGTCCCAGCTACTCAGGAGGCTGAGATAAGAGGATGGCTTGAGCCCAGGAGTATGAGGCTGCAGTGAGCTATGATGATGCCACAGCACTCTACCCATGGTAACCGAGTGAGACTCTGTCTCAAAAAAAAAAAAAAAAAAAAAAAATTCAAAGAATACCATTAAAGGACAGTAACCAGAGATTTTATTTATTTTCTATTTTTTTTATTTAGAGACAAGGTCTTATTCTGTCACCCAGGCTGGAGTACAGTGGCTAGAGCACAGCTCACTACAGCCTCAAACTCCTGGGTGTGAACCACCCTCCTGTTTCAGCCTCCTGAGTAGCTAGGACTACAGGCATGCACCACCAAGCCCAGCTAATTATTTTTATTTTTTTGTAGAGATGGTATCTCACTATGCTACCCAGGCTGGTCTTAAACTACTGGGCTCAAGTGATCCTCCAGCTTTGGCCTCCCAAAGTGTTAAGATTATAGGCGTGAGCCATCACACCCACCAGAAGACTTTATAACAAATAAGTTGTCACCAACAGGTTAATACTGACCCTCCTATGATTTAATATTAATATTAAAATATTAAATAATATTAAAATTTTAAAACAAGGATAAGAATATAAAGAATTCACTACACCCCAAAATAATGTTCTCTTTGCTAACAGTTAAGTGATAGGATCTCCCTCTTTCCATCCAAAGCTAATCTCAGTACCTGTACTCAAAATTCTACTTCGTACTTTTTTGGGAGCCTCTTCACCAATTATCTACTACCTCTATCTTCAGCTTCTCTAAATGGCTCTTTCCTCTTAGCATAAACCAACCCTCAAATATCTATCTCAAACAAAAATCTTTCCTCTACCTTACCTCCTTCTCTTTTTTCCTTCTCATAGCAGGAGAGCCTTTAGAAAGTATGTATAGTTACTTACTCAACTATACTTACTATGCATAGATATCTCAACTCTCTGCAGCCTGTCTTTCTATTCCCTTTGCTCCATGGAACAGGTCCTGCTGAGGTCAATGATTGTCTCTTTTTGGTCCCTATTTCACTGGGCCTCTCAGGAGCACCTGACACACTGACTTCCCTTGGGTTCCATGCCTCCATTCTATGCTGATATTCATCCTACTACAGTAGTCTTTCCTTTCCCTTCCTTGCAGGCTCTCCTGCCTCATCCTGTACCTTAAATAGAGTTTCACAAGATTTCTACCTTAGCCTTTTTTCCCTCACTCTCACACTTCTTGAGTAATCATATCCATTCCTATGGCTTAAACTATTGATGCACTTAAGACTCCTGTGGTTGCTTTTTTTCCATGACTCATACTTTTTACAGTTTCCATCAATCAGTTATTAAATCAGTTATTTCACCAGTACCATAGAGTAGGCTAAGCTCTTACAGACTTCTTTAGCCTATCTCTGGTGATCATAACTTTTACCTGGTAACATTAGCCGACTGCATTCTGAGGCTTCAGTCACCGGAAGGAGGGACAAACAAGTAATGTCTTTAGCTTCTGATTCTACTAGCCCCTGTCCCAATGGGATGGATGTATTCTGAACAAATTGTACCAGGAGCTGGGTTGGGGGGGAAAAAGACAACACTGAGAAAAACAGGTTGTTAGGAATGGGACCTAAACCTCTCAATTTACCAAAAGGTGAGTGTAATTAAGTCTTGACTGTTCACTAGCCTCAACCATATTCAAAGAAAAACTAGATTAGCTACAATAATATTTAAAGTTATCTTATCATGTCCTCTGTTCTAAAGAAACATAGATACCTCAACTCTCTGCAGCCTGTCTGATTTACATAAAGTCAGGCACTGCATGATGTTTCAGTCAATAACCACAAAATTATAATTTAACTTATAATTATAAATTATAATATTTTTACTGTACTTTTTCTAAGGTTAGATATGTTTACATACACAAATTCCATTGTGTTCCAATTGCTCACAGTATTCAGTACAGTAACATGCTGTACAGCTTTGTAGTCTAGGAGTAATGTAGCCTAGGTGTGTAGTAAGCTATACCACCTAGGTTGGTGTAAGTACACTCCATGATGCTTACACCATGGCAAAATTGCTAATGACACATTTCTCAGAATATATCCCTGTCATTAAGTGACATCTCACTGTAATTAGGTTAACCTCTGTCATCTTCTGTCAAACAGAGAAATGATAAAAATATTTTAAAATGATAGCTACCTTAAAAAAAAAAAATCAACTGCATTGTATTGAATACATTTTACAAAGCACTATTCTGTGTACTGGCTCATTTAATCCTCACATTAACCCAGTAAGATTGAATGAGTATTTGACAGATGAGGAATCAAGTTGAAGACATTAAGTGAATTGTCTAAGGTCACATGAACAGTTAAGGAGCACTGCCAGTCTTCAAACTTAAGTAACCTGATTCCAAATTCAGTCTCTTTTCCATTATGCAACACAGATACACTAAAATTCAAGTGATAAAATGAACAAAAATAAAAAAATGTTTAAATCCCCTAATAATGTTCAGAAAGAAAATATTTTCAGATATATATAAAATTAATAAAAGAACAGTTTGTGGTAGTAAATATTTATATACATATGTGATGTGTATGTATGTATACATAGATTTTGTCATTATATAATTACCTAAATGCATAATAATTTTATACTTACTTAAAAACAGATATAAAAAATCACAAAAGATAAAAATAGAATTTTTAAATCTTTGAGAAAATACTTAGTAATAGAAAATAACTAGAAGTTACACTCAAAACCACTTGGCTCACAACACCTAAAATATTTACTACCTTGCCCATTAAAGTTTGCTGACCCCTGAACTAAGGATAAACCTTGAAATATAGTCCACCAAAAGAAAAGGAAACAAGCTGATTGGGCTCACCTCTGGTTTGGATTCTAACTCATCTGATAACATTGATTCAGTTTCCAAATCCTGTAGCTGTTCAGGGGACAGGTTTAAATATAATTCAGAGTCAATGACACCTTCCTTTTATGCTCATATTCCTTTAGGAAATACTATGCTCTTCCTGTAAGATGCTGTACTGGGTGGGTAATCAATTTAACCTAAAATGGAGGTAAAAAAAAAAGAGAGAGAGCGAGACAGAGCATTAAGAGCAGTGGGAAAATGTGGCTAAACAAAGGCACTTCTTTACATATCCCAAAATCACAGCAAGCAAGCAAATGAAGAATTCAGCCCTAACTAAACACTTGTTTTAAAATAGAACAAGCACAGTAGTTATCAACATTCACAAAAATGTTATGCTTTGATGCAGAATTTCTATTTCTAATAATCTATTCTAAGAAAAGTTCTTAAATATGGATAGAGGTATGCCCAAAGATGTTCACCTTATCCTATGTGATAATAAACAGCTAGAAGCAACAAGTAAACATATATACATCTCTCTCCAACAATTAGGAAATAGTTGACTAAATATGTCATTGTCATTTCAAAATATGATTACAAAGACAATGCAACAAAGAAAAATCATTATGACATGTTAAATTATAAAAATAAAATAGAAAATTATATACTTGCTATTAATATTATTAAAACTAGTTATGCTTTGCATAGGAAAAAATAAAAGGAAATTCACATAGCCATGATAGTAGCTATATCATCATAAACTGGTGTGACTTTTTTTCTCAAATTTCTAATTTTTCTAAAAACTATATTGCTTTGATAATGATAAAAAATTACATTAAAATAAAAAGTCAAAATTTGAACAGTGTTTCCCAGAAGTAGTACTCCCAGGAACTTGATGCAGATGCCCTCCAGACCAAACCACAACAACTGTTGCTAAAATTCAGAGTACTATTACATAGAAAGTAATCATATATTGTAAAATGTATCCAAGATGAGTACACTTACAATTAATGGGTACATTAAGTTTTCAATAAATACAAGGGTAGAATGGAAAATTAGAATAAGACTTTATAAAAAGGGCATTTATAAGTACCTAAATGTTTATTGTCTTGTTGGTTCCTTCCTCTCCCTCTTTCTAGCTCCCTGAAATCATTTTTCATCGCAAAGAAATAACAATATACAAGCTATAAATAAAAATGCTCCCTTTAAGTTTCCCAGATAAAAGTATGAAACCCTCATTTCTAACTGCTTGCTGGGTATCTTCACATGTATATCCAACAGCATCTCAAGCCCAACAATGTCCAAGATCCAGATTAAGATCTCCACTAAACCTGTTCTTCTTCCTGTGTTATCTATTTCAATTATTGCCTAATCCTCCTCCCACTCAGGTGCAAATACTAGGTCTTTAACAATCTCTCTCATTCTCCATATTTAAGTAATCCCAGTGATTCTAAGTACCCCAAATATACTCCTATTGTAATGTCCTCTTTAGGTCTCTCAGTAACTTCCAACAACACTGTTAAAATAGGCTTCTAACTGGTCCTTTTAACCCCCCCCCAACCCACCTTTTATTCAGCCACTCTGGTTATCTTCCCAAATCACATAAATGCTTATGTCACTCTCCCTACTCAAACTTCAGTGCTTCAGAATAATCAAATCTCTAAAGTTAAACCTCTTCATTTACAGAGGAAAAAACTCTAAACACAGAGATTAAATAATTTGCCAAAAATTACATATCTACTTAAATGCAAAACTTAAAAAAACTAGAACCTAAATCTGACTGCTACTTTAGTTGTCCTTTACTCTGCCCCACACTAAGATAAACACAAATAGGAATTTCTCACTCCCTAACAACAAAATGACACTTTATTTCAAAATGTTCCTGTTATTTTCTTTGAAAATATACTGAGTTGGCCCTTGTGCCAAATGAGGTATAAGTATGAATTTTTAAATCCCAAGTTAATAATATTTAACTTCCAATGGTGCCTAAATGCATTTCTGAGCCTCATTAGCAAGTGGAATAAACTAATAAACTAACTGGATTATCTTCTCTTGAGAAACGTCGGAGCATAATTTCAACACGAAAGGCATAAGGGTTGTAAACACTCACAGCCTACACCCCCGCAGGAAATGACAAGCAAAGGAGATAAAAACGGACCATCTCCGCCGAGTAGGCAGCCGACCCTCTTCTAGACCCAGAAACGAAGTGGACGTATGATATGAGAGTAGCTCTGGGCTGAAACATTCAAGGCAGGACGCCCTCGGCATCTCCTTTCTCCCTTCACAAAAGCCTTAGTATGAGGCCCCAAGGTCCGCGGACAGGCCCTGGCTACGGGTGCAGAGAGCCCCCGCCCAGGGGACGACTCACTGACTCCGGCTTTCTCAGGACGGTCTTGATACCATATTCCTGCTCCCAAAACCAAGCAAAGGAGCCGAAACAACGCCCCGAAAAACCCGCGAGGGGGAGGATCGAAGCCCTGAGGCTTCAGAACTGCCGCTCCCGGGCTCGCCAGAGCCGGGGACGGTGCCCAAGGGGGGCGGTTTCCCTGCCCTCTCTGAGGGAGAACTCGGCCCCAGCCTCCCCCACCCAAACAAGAAGCCAGTATTGGCTTCCTCCCTCTCTGAGACCACCCAGCCGAGCAGGTGCGGCCAGGCCCACCTCGCAGCTCACCTTCCCGTTCCGGGCAGCCGGCAGTCGGTCAATCGGTCCCGAATTCAGTCCACACACAGCTCTTCCGGCTCCCGCCGGAAGCAGCTCGAGCGCGGGACAGGAAGTTTGGCCGTCCCCCCACGCACACACCCACTCTCCCGCCTCAGGGCTTTGCGGGAGCTACGCGCCTCGCGGTCTCAGCTGGAGGCAGCTGGCAGGGCCTGCTCTGGCTCGCAGCGCAGGACTCAGCCCTGGACGATAGGAGCCGCGCCTCCCACTCATTCTCTCTCGGCTGTCGGGGCTCCCAGGTCCGCGAAGCCCGAAAAAAACGGGTCAGTTAATTCTAGCTGTGACGTCACTGCCTCCTGGCAGCTGCCGATGGGGCAGTTTTTCTTGTCAGCTGAGGAGTTACAATGGAAGCAAATGAGAAAGAAAAGATAACAACTTAAACATTAATCAGCGGTCTTCGTGGAGAAGACCTCGAAGCTTAAATACCTCAAAGGGAACTTGCAAAATCAAGTTAGCATTTCATACGGGACGAGGTACGAATTGAGTCTGGTTCCCCCTTGGATTCCCTGAATGGGAGGTGGGGGGGAGCGCTAAACGCTTGAGTTCCGGGCTGGATGCTACCACTTGTTAGAGCGTTAAGAGTTTGACAGACTTCTTGAAATTATTGATTTTTTAATACTTGCTGCCTGTGGAAGAATGAGGGACTCAAATGAGATAGCGGCAGCGGGAATTAGAGGAGTTCTCTATTAATAAAAAAGTCCATTTTTCAAGGTTAAAGATAAACTTTGATGACAAGGTTTGGTTACACAAATAACTAATGGTAATTTAAAACAGAGGAGAAACACGTTTCAGAAGAAGAAAATTCTTCTGTAGAAAAGCAGAGTTAGAGGTGCCAATCCAGAGTTGAGAATATTCACTTGGAGGTGAAGGTCCAGGCTCAATTAAGAGGTCAGAAATAGAAATGTAGATTTGGGAGTTATCAACATACAGAGAAGAGATTAAGCCCCTCAGGAGGTGAAATGGTCCAAGAAAAGTATTATTATATAAAACAAGAAAGAAGAGACAGCCACTGAAGTAAACTGGAGTGACTGATTATCAACACAATCTGAATCTACTTATTACAAATGTTGCATACAAAAGTACATTGGCAGTGTGTAAACAGGTGACCATAAACCACAACACTCAGAAAAATATCTTCAATTTTACTGTTCTACAAGGTTGATTACAACTGATAAAACAAAACTTTTATTTAGAGGTATATCAGTAGTGCCTGAACATTCATGTTTACAACCATTTGTTAATTTGCCCACTCAGTCCTGTCATTTTCATTGTTTCCCCTGCGATGCTTTGTTTTAATTAAGTCCTGTCATTTTCTGAAGCTGTCTTTGTTGTCTAAATCTTTCTAAATCTGTTCATCACCTAAAAATCCACGTGATGTTTGTATCTGTTTGCCCCCTAAATCTTTACAACCATTTAACAGTATGTGCCTGCTAACCTAAAATAAACATGCTTTTGTCAACATATGTTGAGTTTTTAGGCTTTACAGTAAATTATTTGGCAAAACACAAATTGATCATCCATTCCCTGGAGTATATCTAGTGGTCTATCAACTTAACCAACTTCAGTTTTTTATCTTCTCATACTATTCCCCAACCCAAAGCCTCTGTTCTATCCCAAAAACTGTTCCACAGCTCTGATACCCTCAACCCTCTCCCCAGTTCCTATATACACATTATACCAGTAAGTCTCTTTTCTATCTACAATATCGAGAGGCCATCCCAATTCTATTCTTTTTTTTTTGAGACAGAGTCTCACTTTGTTGTCCAGCTTAGAGTGAGTGCGGTGGTGTCAGCCTAGCTACACGCAACCTAAACTCCTGGGCTCAGCGATCCTCCTGCCTCCTCCCGAGTAGCTGGATACAGGCATGTTCCACTATGCCCGGCTATTTTTTTATTATATATATATATCAGTTGGCCAATAATCTCTTTATTTATAGTAGAGACGGGTTCGCTCTTGATCAGGCTGGTTTTGAACTCCTGACCTTGAGCAATCCACCTGCCTCGCCTCCCAGAAAGCTAGATTACAGCGGTACACCAGTGCCTGGCCCATTCTATTCTTACATCAAGAATCATGTAAAACATTTCCAGTTAAACAAATGTTTACTAAGTACCTCTCAAGAATTCTATTTTAATTATTTATTTTAATTTATTCTATTTAATTTATTCTATTTTAATTATTGTATTAATTATAACAGTATAATTTAAAATCTTGTGTACAATCTATTAACAGTTACATTTCCAGTAGTTTCAGAATATCTGATACAAATAGCATATATATTAGTTTTAGCAAAAAAGGAAAAAACAATCATGTTAACATCAATCTATTTTGTAAATAATTGGTTTACAGAGCATATATGATATTGAAGTTATAGGAAAGAATTATGCAACTAAGAAAATAACACCTATGATCACATTTAAATCAAGAGCTGTCTGTATTCTAAGGTGTTTTTTTAAATGTATCTTAAAAATCTGCAAAATGGAAATCTGTGATTTCCTTGACACAGGCATTTACAGAAACTACAGAGAGGTTTCTTCTGAAATGCAAACTATCTGCTTTCCGATGTTACCTCCTGTCATCATGGACTGGATGAGCTGGAAGAATAAAACTAAAAAGTTCTGAAAGATAAATTCTATATATTGTTTTCAGAAGATCAGACACAAAATTAGTTTGAATAATTTCTTCAATGATTTTAATATAAATCACAGAAGAAAACTGTCCTGAAAACTGTCCTCAAGTAAAACACAGGCAAAGTTACAGCAAAAACTAACCCAATTAACATCTTAAAAAATTGTTTTAGGCCGGGTGCAGTAGCTCACGTCTGTAATCTCGCACTCTGAGGCCAGGCCGGGCGGTGCTCGAGGTTCAGGAGTTTCGGACACGCTCTAGGCAGACGAGACACAGTCTTACTTAATATGACAAGAATCTATTGACACACTAAAAGAATTATATATATATAAAAATTAGCTGCGCATAGGTGGCATGCCTTGTTGCCACAGCTACTGGCGAGGCGTGAGGTAAGGAGGATCACTTGACCCAGGAGATTGAGGTTTGTGGTGAGCAGGATGCGCACGCGGCACTCATCTAAGCCTAGGCACAAAGCGAGACTGTCCAAAAAAAAAAAAAAAAGAAAAGTAATTGTTTTAACCCAACCTGGAAATGTCTAATGGATGTCTACATCAAGTTCACTGTTTATAGTGTTTGGAGACTAGAGGCAAATAAATATGGGAATAAAATGTCAATGAAAACAATTTTTAAATATCACAAATTAGAATCTAATCATAGAAGTTATATTAATGAATATGTGTATAAATAGACTCATTGATACAGACAAATGACATTTTCTTAGTAAACATATTAACCAAATATATTAAATTATTTTTCTGGAAAGGAAAAAGATCAGTTTGATTTAAGCTTTTTCATTTGAATGATGAAAGAGTTAAATTCCGTAAGGCGAAAAAAAATTAAAAATTGAAAATTTGGTTAAATAATCTTTTGATGCTTCAGAACCATTTAACCTGCAAAAGTTACCTAGAGGCTAAATAACTTTCACAATTCTTACATTCTTTATAAGCTGTTTGAAAAAACAAAGAAACACTTATTTTACGATTTGAAATGTGAAAAGAATACCTCTTAAAATACCACTAAATTCAACTTATGATTGATTAAGAATTTAAAGGAAACCCCTATCTAGGACAGTTTTACAGGAAGAAATAAATTATTAAAAACTAAATCTGGGAGGCCGAGGCAGGCAGATTGCTCAAGGTCAGGAGTTCAAAACCAGCCTGAGCGAGACCCCGTTCTACCATAAAAATAGAAAGAAATTAATTGCAAACTATATATGTACTAAAATCAGCTGGCATGCGTGGCTATGCGTGATCCAGCTACGCTCCGGGAGGCTGAGGCAGGAGTCACTTGAGCCCAGGAGTTTGAGGTTCCATGTGAGCTAGGCTGACCGCACGGCACTCAATCTATCCTAGGCAGGCAAAGAAGACTCTGTCTCAAAAAAATTAAAAAAATAAATTAAAAAACACCAGAGAGATACCATTAAAAGAAAAAAAAGGAATATTTGTGCTGAACACATGTATATACTGTCATAAGTAAATCTAAATTCATCTTACCTCCATATTTTCCAATCCATTTATCACAGTCTCTTTGATCTGTAAATCAAAATAGCTAGATTTAGTATTCTTTAAAACTCAATGTTTCTATTAATTAGTTCCTCTTTGCACAGAGGCAGCACTATCTGTAGCACTTTCTGTCTAAACGTAGATATCTTTATTCCATGTAGGTAGCCCAGAAAATTTCCATTGTCTTGATTTTAAAATAAATCCTTTTTTCATTGTCAAAATCTGCAAATCAGTAACAGATCACAAACTAACTATACCTCTCTTTCAAAAAAGTATAATAGGTGGGAATGCATTTATGAAACCTTAAATCTGTGACTCCCCATATATTTGCCAATAAAAAAATTAATTAAAAAAATTAAAAAAAAAAGGTATATAAGCACATAGCACATACAATTTTGCACATTTCAAGAACAACCTAGGTCAGGCCAGGTGCAGTGGTTCACGCCCATAATCTTAGCACTTTGGGAAGCTGATGCAGGAGGATCACTTGAGGCCAGAAATTCAAGACCAGACTGAGCAACATAGAGAGATATCATCTCTACAAAAAATAGAAAAATTAGCTGGGTGTGGTGATGTGTGCCTATAGTCCCAGGTTGAGAGGCTGAGGCAAGAGGATCACTTGAGCCCAGGAGTTTGAGGTTGCAGTGAGCTCTGATGATGTCAATACACTCTAGCCTAGGTAATGGAGTGAGACCCTGTCTTCAAAAAAATAAATAAATAAATCCTAGGTCCAGGTATCTGGACCCCAGATTAATATTAATAACTCCTGGTTTTCAAAACCAACAACTAAGAGATATATCAGAAAGTCCAGGGAGAAGAGGAAAGAAGTACGGTGGAGAAGAGGTAGGGGTCCTGGGATATGCTTACATGAGTCTTGAGAAAATACAGCTTCTTAACACACAGTAGCATTCCATAAATAATTGTTAAATTAATGAATATTATAATTTAATGTTTTGGGGAAAAAAACCTATTGATTTTATAATATAATCTGTAGAACGTGAACGTAAAGCACAAAAAATTTTAGATAAAGGGAATAATATGCAAGGGTTTCTCAATCAGGAGGTTACACTCATATGGGAAGCAAAATCTGTAATATTCAGTACACTTCTTTGTGGGAATTTTAATACTGAAACTAATATGTTTGCTATAATAAATTAAAATAATACAAAATTATATCAAGTAGCAGGAAGAATTATACTGATAAAGAATAGACGCAAGTTCTACCTTTAGTTTTCCTTCTTTAAACCACTGACTCAGCTGCAGAATGCCAGGCCCAAATTTGTCCTTATAATTTAACACCATAAATCTTTCCCTGCAGTGGGGAAGAAAAGGATAATGATCAGAGAATATAACAGGACTGACAGTCAAAGATCACATCATTCCAGAACTCTAATATCTGTTAATCCTTAAAATATTAGGACTTAATCACACTGAATCTGGTCAGATATAGTTTTAGATGCAGTTTCAGGTATAAATATAGAAGACTTCCATTGTGTTTGCCTGCCCAGCACCTACAACTCCATTTGGTAATAGCACTGTGATTTTTCCTTTGTGGGGTAACATCCTTTCCGTACCTTCATGTGACCTAAGCCAGGCCAGTCAGTCAAAGCCATTCAGTATCAGTTTTTAGGTAGGTAGTTAACCAAAACCTAAATATTGAACCAGCTTAAAAATGTATGTTTTCTAGCTTTATTTAATCAGGAAAAAGTATATATGAAGAACAATACATTTTATATATCTATGCTATTTAAACCCCATCGAACCTGGTAGTAAGGGCAAAGGGGAAGAACATACCTTGTGATGTTTCTTTCTTTCTGGATTGCCTCTATCGCAGGGGGCAGTGGTGGAGGATAAGGGACATCTTTGTTGTACTGAGAAATTTGACCACACAAGATGATGTGGCTATTCTGATTCATCTGTACAGAGAAAATTGATGATTATATCCTAGGATGTATGTCTTCCCTATGTTTACTGATTTTATGGCTGCCTCAATGAAAGCCTCCTTGACTATTATATTATATTTAATCCTTTATTGTCAATTGAGTTCGTTTTGAAGATTTACCCATCATACATATTTAAGAGTTTTAATTAACCAGAAATAAGTCTACTCCAAAGGAACACAGAGGCAAATCAAGTTTGGTAATCAGCAAAAGAATTACATTATTAGTTGTTGCTACTTTTAGTATTAGTAGTAGTGTGTTTCTTTGGATTTAAGTAATTTAACCTCAACTGCAAATAATTTTACACAGAGTAAAGGACTATGCAATGTTAATAGTTCATGCTGACATTTTATAACATTGTTAATAAAAATATGTAAATACCTACAATCTATAAAAACCCATTCCCTACCCAAAGTCTGGAGCCATGGCTATTAGTTGGTGAATGATGAGTTAGGGGTCAGAACTTCACCATTTCAATAATGAAACTGTAATTTTTCACAAAAATAGACTGAAGGTGAAAAATACAATATTGCTAACAAATAACTAAAATTGAAGTTCATGGTGCAAATCTGCCAGCAAATGGAAGCAGACATCAGCAGGTGTTTTTGTATAACAAATACCAGCTGTCACACTGTCACAATAAACCCTACAATTTTATGGAGTTTTTTTTCCTCATTATTAGGTAAAAAGATAACACAGCAAATAAAAAGCAGTATTCAATTTGTAAGTGAAATAGTAAACAACCTGACTTATCACTGTATCACTGATGTCACCGCCAACATTGTCAAAGTAAACATCTACTCCAGTTGGGCATAATTCACGGAGTTGTTCTGCCACATTCCCTTTTTTATAATTAATTGCAGCATCAAAGCCCAGTTCTGAGGTCAAAAGGAGGCATTTCTCATGTGTTCCACAAATTCCTAGTACTCTGGAACAACCAAGCAAGTGGCCAATCTAGGGTGAAAATTTTTGAAAATTAAATGGTTTTATATCATCACATTTAAATGTAATAATGTGAACTTATACAAGATGTTACCAGTATGTGAGAGCGTTCATCACAATTTGGGTTAGATTATGCTGTTTTTAACTAAAAGTAATTTGAAAACAAAAGAACTGAAGGTAGATACAATGTTATCCTTTAATTGAATAAAATCAGTCTTATTAATGCTCCCCAACTTAAGATGAGGTTATGTTCCAATAAACACATAATTAGCTGTAAATATCATAAGTAAAAAATGCATTTAAGGCTGGGCGAGGTGGCTCACGCCTGTTAATCCTAGCACTCTGGGAGGCCAAGGCAGGAGGATCGCTAAAGTCAGGAGTTCGGAAACAGCCTGAGCAAGAGGGAGATGGAGGTCTTTACTAAAAACAGAAAGAAATTAATTGGACAACTAAAAATATATACAAAAAATTGGCCAGGCATAGTGGCGCATGCCTGTAGTCCCAGCTACTCAGGAAGCTGAGGCAGTAGGATTGCTTGAGCTCAGGAATTTGAGGTTGCTGTGAGCTAGGCTGATGCCACAGCACTCTAGCCTGGGTAACAGAGTGAGATTCTGTCTCAAAAAAAAAAAAAAAAAAAAAAAATGCATTTAATACACCTAACCTACTGAGTATCATAGCTTAGCCCAGCCCATCTCAAAAGTGCTCAGAACATTTACATCACCCTACAGTTGCGCAAAATCATCTGGCAACACAATACACTGTAGGGCTACGATCCCCCCTCTCCCCGGGCCGAGGCCCAGTACTGGTCCATGGCCTGTCAGGAACCAGGCCTCACATCACCGTCTGACTAGATCTCTGTGCCCACCAAGCTCTGCATTCCCCTAACCCCACCCGTCCATAGAAAAATGGTCTTCCATGAAACATAGGAACCTGCCACACAGCAGGCAGTGAGCAGCCAGGTGAGCTAGAGAAGCTTCACCTGTATTTGCAGCTGCTCCCCAACGCTTGCATCACTGCCTGAGCTCCACCTCTGCCCTCTTGCCTCCCCCACTGCCCTGCCACCCCTGTCTGTGGAAAAACTGTCTTCCATGAACCCAGTCCCTGTGCCGAAAAGGTTGGAGACCCACTGTGGTAGAGTATGGGTTGTTTACCCTAATGATCACGTGGCTGACAAGGAACCATGGCTTGCTGCTGCAAAATACAGCATCACATATCCTAGTCCAGGCAAAGATGAAAATACAAACTTCGACATACCATTTCTACTGAGTGTGTACCACTTTTGCATCATTGTAAAATCAAAAAACCCTAAACCAAACCATCGTAAGTCAAGGACCGTCTATAATTTGAATGCTAAAATTTCACAATTTAAATCTGACTTCATAAAAAGGAACAGTCAGACCCAAAATATCACTATCTTACAATTCAATATTTTTCCAGGTCTATGAGGAACTAAAATCACAGCTAAAAATTTTGTTTCAATAGTTTCACACTAGAAAGGCTATTATTTATGAAAGAATGAACTTTATAAAATTCTATCAAAATGTTTACTACATTTCTAGAACTCAATATGTGCTGTCTTATTTGAGAACATTTTTTAAAAATATGAGTTTGTTTTGTTTTATTTTTTGAGACAGGTCTCACTCTGTTGCTCAGGCTAGAATGCAGCAGTGGTCTCATCATAGCTCCCTGCAGCCTTGAACTCCTGGGCTCCAGCAATCCTCCTGCCTCAACCTCCCAAGGAGCTGGGACTACAGGCATGTGCCACCATGTTTGGCTCGTTTGTTTGTTTAATTTATGGAATTCCAGACAAGTTCTCCAATGATTCTTTTCCTTATACTGATAAAAGCAATGTTCCAGCATTCACCATATCTATTTTTGGTTAATAGATAATAAAAAAATCTACATTTTTTCATATTGTTATTAAGAGAATATAAGTAGGTAATAATAACACCATTTCTACCAGAAATGTATGAAATAATCATATTATAAATGTGTTCAATTTTAAATTTTAAATTAAATACATGTATCCAGAGATTCAATTATGAATTCCAATAATAATCAAATAATTCTCAGAAAGTTTACCTGCCCAGCTAAGGATCCACAGGCACCTGCAGCCCCACTGACAACCATTGTCTGATTAGATCCAGCAGTTATATGACCTTTTTCCTGTATCCCAATCAAGGATGTCAAACCAGGCATACCTATAGCTCCAAGAAAATATGAAAGGTGTCCATCCACAAGTTGTGGATCTACCTAAAATAAAATGTTTTAAAAAACAATATTAGAAATTCCTGTTTTAAGACAACGAGGTAGACATAACCTGTTAAGGACTGAATTGTGTCCCCTGCAAAATTCATGTTAAAGCCTTAACCCCCAATATGACTTTATTTGGAGACTGGGCCTTTAAGGAAATATTTAAGGTTAAATGAGCTCATAAGAATGGAGTCCTAATCCAGTAAGACTTGTGTCCTTATAAGAAGAAGAAATACAAGTGATCTTTTTCTCTCTGCACACACACACAAAGGAAAGACCACATGAGGACACAGCTAGAAGGTGGCAATCTGCAAGCCAGGAAGCGAGGGCTAACCAGAAATCAAATTTTCCAGCACCTTGATCTTGGACTTGTAGCATTCAGAACTGTGAGATGATAAATTTCCATTGCTTAAGCCACCTAAACCTGTGGTATTTTGTTATGGCAGCCCAAGAGGACTAATAAACAACCCAATATGGTTCCTGGAAGAGTAAACCATTCTTCAATCTTATTGAAATTCTATAATTTTATTTGTAAATACTAAAAAACAATATTACTTCTCTTTATATTAAAAACCTTTAAAAAAGAATTCCCACATAAAAGAGACTAAATATTGTTTCTTGTTAATGCTCCAAGTATATCAAAAGGAGGAAATACTTAACAGGAAAACACTAGGCAAAGTTCGAAAGTTTTTAAATCTCTGAGCAATTCTGAAAGTAAACACCTATAAAAATTAACTTAAACTCTAACAGTTCTCATTACTGATACTTCAAATGTACAATAAAAATGTAAGGAAGGTATAATACAATTTCTTACAGTTTAATTACAGAATAAAATGAAGTGTCTTTCAATTGACAATTTATGTCTACATGCTTACTAGGCCCCATCAATAATTAATTATATTGCTCTTGTTTTTCTGTGTCTGTTTTCTTATTGTAAAGTTAGGGAAAACCAAAGGAAACTATATAGAAAGACTCCCTACCACAAAGGTTTTATAATAATTTAAGAATTTAATAATTTTGGTAAAAATCTAACAAACCACCAAAAGTAATTAAGATCTACCAACTTAGTTTGATTTATAGTTCAACTGCCACAAAGAAATAAAATGGTAGTTTATATTCCGGAGGTTTTATTTGTTTGTTTGTTTGTCTGTTTGTTTGAGACACAGTCGCAACTCTGTTACCCTGGCTAGAGTGCTGTGGCATCATCATAGCTCATTGCAACCTGGAACTCCTGGGCTCAAGTGATCCTACTGCCTCAGCCTCCTGAGTAGCTGGGACTACAGGCATGTGCCACCATGCTTGGCTAATTTTTTCTATATACTTTTAGTTGTCCAATTAATTTATTTCTATTTTTAGTAAAGACAGGGTCTCACTCTTGCTCAGGCTGGTCTCGAACTCCTGAGATCAAACAATCCACCCGCCTTGACCTGTTTGTTTCTTTTTGAGACAAGAGTCTCCGTTGCCCAGGCTAGAGCACCTGTGGTGTCATCATAGCTCACTGCAACCTCAAACTCCCAGATTCAAGTGATCCTCCCACCTCAGTCTCTGCAGTAGCTGGGACTACAGGTGCAGGCCACATGCACAGCTAATTATTTTTTCTTTTTAAATTTTTCGTAGAGATGGTGTCTCTCAGGTTGATCTTTAACTCTTGGCTTCAAGCAATCCTCCCACTTTGGCCTCCCAAAGTGCTAGGATTACAGGTGTTAGCCACCATGCCTGGCCTATATTCAGTAGTTTTAAATGGCTATGGGTTAAATGTGGTGTGTAAACAAAAGCAATAGAGATATTAAAGTCTATAATACATAGGAAGATGTATCATATACAGAAATATTTCATGAAGGTAATCATTGTTTATTTGTTAAGGCCAGTAAAAAAACATTATGAGGTATGTTTGTGCTGAGCAAGTAACATCTCTCTATCCTTTCTGAATTCCTCTTCCTCATTTCTAATATCTATTCCCAAAGCATTTTCAAGCTGTCCCCAACTGCTCAATTTCCCACTACAGCACTACATTCTCACACAAAACACTTCTGATACCATAGGTGAAATTTTTCCTACACCAACCAATTCTCTTTGTGAAAGTATGCTCCTGACCCATAAACAAAATGGACTTCCTGTGGCTAACTGAGGTGCTCAGAGTTAAAACAGAACCAGGCTGCCATGCCTGAGGGAGGGAGAGGTCATGTACTCTGTGTTCTCAGAGAGATGTAAAAGTGTCACAGGACCTTGTTTTCTACAATCAAGCCAAACCAGTTCCTGTTGCCCTGCCAAGATAAACTGTGGCTGCCCCCTGCCATTTGAAAGAAACTTAACCCTTTGCACACAGATGTCAAGTGTGACTGGACATGGTTAGCAAAAATTATAGAGATTAAAATTACTCTTTGAATGTATCAATAATTTGAAACATAAAAAAAATCCAAATAAATAAGTTTGTATGAAAAGAAACTCCAGTTTTTTATTCTACTGCTGCGCTTTGTAAAATCTGGGGTATTTAAAAAATTAAATCCTGAGTAGAATAAAGGAATAAAGAAAAAAGCAAGCAAGTGCAAAGGGTTAAGACAGAGACTCCTGGTTTGGGGCCTGGTGACCAGTCAGAACTGAATAAGTTTGTATAAAGGACTTGATTGAGAACTGGGGCAGCAAGTTTCCCTATTTAGGCCAGACCCTGCCTTTGTTCCTTGGGGAGCAAACTTTCACTTGTACTGAAGGCTGTGCCTCCCCAATCTGCAGATTTTTTTTTTATAAAAAATAAAGCTCTCCCCTTTTCCTCTGCAGATCTCATGGTCTTTTGTTAACACCCTACACCAACTGGGTGTCCTACAATTTCAGTTTAATTCTGACAACTATCTACCTGGAGTTGGCATCAGATCCCACAAATTAAGTCCCACAAGACTACCCCACTTCCGATGCCAATTGTGAGTCTGGGCCTCCTATACTTCTGACTGATTAGCTATAAATCAGGGGTTCCCATGATCCCCTCCTTGAGTTTGATAATTTGCTAGAATGGCTCACAGAACTCATGGAAACACTTGACTTATATTTGCCAGTTTGTTTTAAAGGACATAAAGGAGACAGATGAACACACAGATGAAGAGGCACTGGGGTAAGGTCCAGAAGGGTCCCAAATGCAAGAGATTCTGTTCAATGGAGTTGAGGTGCCCCATACTTTTATCACATGGATGTATTCATCCATTGACCCAGAAGCTCATCAAATCTCACTGTTTAAGAGGTTTTTTCATTTTGTTTTGTTTTTGAGACAGTGTCACTCTGTTGCCCCAGCTAGAGTGCTGTGGCATCAGCCTAGCTCACAGCAATCTCAAACTCCTGGGCTCAAGTGATCCTCCTGCCTCAGCCTCCTGAATAGCTGGGACTACAGGCATGTGCCACCACACCCAGCTAATTTTTTTTTTTCTATTTTTAGTTGTCTGGCTAATTTTTTCCTATTTTTAGTAGAGATGGAGGTCTCTAAACTCAGGATTTCTGACATGAGATGGAATTTCAAGCACAAAGCAAATGAACTACTTAAGTGATTCATTTTTCTGGAAACTTTAAGGCATATAATTATAGGGAAAGATCCAGTTCTTAGTAAGAAATATTTTTGGGCTGGGCATGGTGGCTCACGCCTGTAATCCTAGCACTCTGGGAAGCCGAGGCAGGCGGATGGCTCAAGGTCAGGAGTTCAAACCAGCCTGAGCAAGAGCAAGACCCCTTCTCTACTATAAATAGAAAGAAATTAATTGGCCAACTAATATATATAGAAAAATAGCCGGGCATGGTGGCGATGCCTGTAGCCCAGCTACTCAGGAGGCTGAGGCAGCAGGATTGCTTAAGCCCAGGATTTGAGGTTGCTGTGAATCAGGCTGACGCCACGGCACCACTCTAGCCAGGCAACAAAGGGAGACTCTGTCTCAAAAAAAAAAAAAAAAAAATTTTTTTTATTTACAAGTCAGGTTTTATATACGAAATTTGAAAAATAAATTATATATGATAAATGACACCATTCTCTGGTAACCTAAGAATTATCACATACAGTTACAAATGTTGGGGTTCAGAAAACTATATGCCAAAGTATGGTACCTTGGCACTCTGAGCACTTTGAATAAAAGGAAATTGGAAGGCCTTAGAAGTTGCCTTAGAATCAAGGTTTCTCTGACAGACCCTTGTTTCTCCTCCCCAAGAGCAAGAAGGGGCTTTCTTTCTCTCTCTCTCTCCCTTTCTCCCTTCCTCCCTCCCTCTCTTTCCCTCTCCCTCTCTCCCTCCCCTTCTCCCTCCATCCCTCCCTCCCTTTCTCCCAGGGATAATTAATAACTGGAGAGGAAATTAAAAGTCTTTATCACACTCATCTATGCTTCTAGAGGCTGCTCCAAAACAACTTTAATTACCTAAGAGACTTTAACTACATAATAAGACAACCTTTGTTCACCATGTGGTTCTGCCCCTCTCCATCTATGTTGCCACCTCCCCCAAAAGCCTCAAGCCCCTATTCCTTTATGCTATAAAAAGTTCAACCATCTGGCCCCCCTTTCGGTCTCTTACTCTTCTGTGAAGCTGCTGTGGGCATACATGTAATTAAAATGTTTTTTTCTCCTATTAATCTATTTATTGTCAGTTTATTTCAGCAGACTCAATTATTGAAACTTCAGAGGAAAAATTTAAACCCCCCTACACAGCTAACGGTGGAAAAGGAACAAAGAGCATTCCATATTTTGGCAGCTAGCAAAAAGAGAATGTATGCTCTAATTTTTTTGCCTAATAACAAATAGAACTGAATACCAAATGCACAAAGTAAGAATTATACAGGAAAATAAAACAGATAACTTTCATATTATGTATCACCTTTTCAAGGCTATTTCCATCCAGAATAACCTTGGTTTGCCAGGGCCAATAGAAAGAAGTCACAAAATCGCCTTTAGTTAAATTTGTGTGTTTGCTTTCTTCTATAACTCCAATACCACCACCATCAACCACTTGAGACAGCTGCCAAGGTGTTATATAATCAGAGCCAGTGTCTTCATTCATTCTACAACGCTAAAAAAAGAATATATTGATTAAGGTAATTTTGTCAGATAATACTGTGAACCAGTATACTAATTTACCCTGTGACGAAAAGTACATAATAAGTAACCTTAAGTTAACTGTTAGTCAAATAAATGAAAATAAAATTTATCTTAATTTCTCTCTTCCTTACAGTTATTTTTTACTCTGAAAAAAATGTGCCTCTTCTCTAGCAAGTAAAGAAGTGCAATTAAAAAGGAATTTAAGTATGTTCTAAAATTAGATTGTGGTAATCAAAGCAAAATGGTACAGGCATAAAAACAAACACATTGACCAAAAGAACAGAATAGAGAGCCCAGAAATAAATCCACACATTTATAGTCAATTGATTTTCAACAAAGATGCCAAGAACACACGATGGGGAAAGGACAGTTCTTCAATAAACGGTGCTGGGAAAACTGGATACCTACATGTAGAAGAATAAAATTAGACCCTTATTTCACATCATATACAAAAATCAACTCAAAATGGATTGCAGATTTAAAAATAAGACCTGAAATAGCATGGTGACTATAGTTACACACAATGTATTGAATACCTGAAGACTTCCCAAAGAACAGATTCTAAGTGTTCTCACCACAAATAAATAGTAATTCATGAGGTAATCCATGTTAATTAGAATGATTCAGCCATTGTACAATGTAAACATATTTCAAAACATCATATTGTACACCATAAATACATATGTTTTCTTCATCAATTAAAATTTTTTTAAATAAAAGAAATTAGATTGTGGTGATAGTTGTACAATTCTATGCATATTCTAAAAATCACTAAACTATACACTTTGAATGCATAAAGTATATGATATGTGAATTGTATTTCAATAAAGCTGTCAAAAATTTTAAATAGTTACTTACAGAAATTTAAGTAATATTATACACATTATGGTAGCAAAAATAATACAAAATACTGTTTCAATGGATTATGGCCAATTAGGTACAGTTACATATTGCTGATAGTATAAAACTGCCCATTTTTTCTGGAAAACAAACTAGCAACATATAAACTATAAAACTCTTGATTTCTTTTGACCTAGCAATTCTGCCTCCCAAATGAAAATAACCCAAAAGAAAAGAAACAATTTTTATACGGTTGTTCATCACAACTTCAGACCAAAATCTCTCCGTACATCTTGCCCCCTAACCAGATGGATGCTTTCTTTACACCCCAAAGACAAAGAGTCACAGTGAGACCACATCCTGCCACCAGATGAGGGCTAAGGACTTCTCTGGGCAGCAGTAAAGGCTGTCTTCCTCTGCGGCTCTTGCCTCTCTCATGAAGCCCAAAATGTAGAGGACAAAATGTCAATGGAAAACATCGAAGCCTACATAATTAAGGGACCCATGTGGTCTAGTTTAGTTCATCAGGGGAAAAGACCAAATAGGGAATTAAGGCAGAAGCTTCTATGTGAATATACTACGCTTCTGCTTGGGTGTCACCTCCCATGTAGTCCTGGAAAGCAAGTACAGCAGCCATAGGACACTGCCAGACCAAGGGCCTGACACTTAAACACTACTAATGAGAAAACTGGAAATAAGTGTTGTGAGATATAGGAAAAAAACTCAAGTGTTTTGCTTACTCTCTCTCACCACAACACTTCTAACACTAGATTGGAAGGGTGGTATTTCCCCACACACCAACCAAGCAATTCTGCTTTGGTTTAATTTGTTGGAGCAGCTAACAGAACTTGGAAAGATTTTACATTTTCTGGGTTATTATAAAAGATACTACAAAGGATATAGATGAATAGCCAAATGGAAGACATGCATAGGGTGTGGACAAAGGAAGTCTAAAATAGCTGGTGAAGCATTGTTTCTGGCTATGTATTTGAGGGTGTTTTTGGAGAAGACTGACATGTGAGTTGGTGGACTAAATACAGAAGATCCACTCTCAACATGGGCAGGCACCACCTAATCCACTGGGGGCTCAGGTGGAACAAAAAGGCATAAGAAGGACAAATTCTCTCTCTCTGTGTTCTGGAGTAGGATATCCTTCTTCTCCTGCCCTTGGACATCAGAACTCCAGGTTCCTCAGCCTTTGGACTTTGGAACTTCCAACAGTAGCTTCCTGAGGCTCTCAGACCTTTGGCCTTGGACTGACAGTTACACCACTGGTTAACTTCCTTGGTTCTTGGTCCTTCCAACTTGGACTGCATAATGCTATCGGCTTCTCTGGTTCTCCAGCTTGCAGACAGCCTGTCATAGGACTTTGTAGCTTTCATAATCCTATAAGCCAATTCCCCTAATAAATCCCTCTTGTGTGTGTTTATGTGTGTCTCTCCTATTGGTTCTGTGTCTCTGAAGACCCCTTCCTCATACCATACACAAAAATGAATTCAAAATAGGCCACAGACTTAAATGTTAGAACTAAAATTATAGATCTCTTAGAAGACATTATAGGACTACAACACTTATGTGCACATATAGTAGTAAGCAAAGGCAATATATGTAACCTAAACATTTGTACCTCCGTAATATGCCAAAATAAAAATAAATAAATAAAAAAGAAATTATAGGACTAAATCTTTGTGACCTTAAGTGAGGCAAAGCTTTCTTAGATATGAATCCAAAAGTAAAAATAACATAAGAAAAAATGGATAAATTGGACTTTATCAAAATTTAAAACTTTTGTAGTGGCTTGTGCCTGTAATCCCAGCTACTTAGGAGGTTGACGTGGGAAGACTCCTTGAGATCAGGAGTTCAAGACCAGCCTGGGCAAGACCAGCCTGGGCAACATAGTGAGACTCCGTCTCTAAAAAAATAAAAAATAAATTAGTTGGGCATGGTGGCATGCACCTGTCATCACAGCTACATAGAAAGCTGAGGCAGGAGTTTGAGGCTGCAGTAAGCTATGATCATACCACTGACTAAACCCCAGCCTGGGTGACAGAGCAAGATCTCATCTAAAAAAAAAAATTAAAATCTTTTGTGCTTCAATGGATGCCATCAAGAATATGAAAAGAGGCCGGGCGTGGTGGTTCACGCCTGTAATCCTAGCACTCTGGGAGGCCAAGGAGGGCAGATCACTTAAGGTCAGGAGTTTGAGACCAGCCTAAGCAAGAGCAAGACCCCATCTCTACTAAAAATAGAAAGAAATCAGCAGGACAACTAAAAATATATAGAAAAAATTAGCCAGACATGATGGCGCATGCCTGTAGTCCCAGCTACTCCGGAGGCTGAGGCAGTAGGATTGCTTGAGCCAAGAAGTTTGAGGTTGCTGTGAGCTAGGCTGATGCCGTGGCACTCTAGCCAAAAAAGAATATGAAAAGAGAGCCCACAGAAAGAATGGGAGAAAATATTTACAGATCATATATCCAGTAAGGAGCTTATATCTAGAATATATAAAGACCTCTTATAACTCAATAATAGAAAGATAACCCAATTTTTTAAATACACAAGAGATCTGAATATACATTTCTCCAAAAAATATACACAAATGACCAATAAGCACATGAAAACATGTTCAACATCATTAGCCATCAAGGAAATGCAAAACAAAACTTCAATGAGATACCACTTCGCACCAATTAGAATGGCTATAATCAAAAATACATATAATAACAAGTGTTAGTGAGGATGTGGAAAAATTGAAACTCTTATGCTGGTGGGATTGTAAAATGGGACAGCCACTTAGAAAAGAGACTGGTAGCTTTGCAAAAGGTTAAACACACAATTAACATATGACCTAGCAATTCTACTCCTAGGTATATATGCAAGAGAAATGAAAACACAGTCTATACAAAAACTTGTACACAAATGTTCATAACAAAAGTATTCATAACAGCCAAATTGTGGAAACAACCCACATGTCTATCATCTGATGAGCAGATAAACAAAACATTGTATATCCATATAATGCAACATTATTCAGCAATAAAAAGTGAAGTACTGATATAAGCTGTAACATTGATGAACTTTGTAAACATATATTAAGTGAAAGAAGCCAGACACAGAAGGTCACATATTTTATGTTTCAATTTATATAAAATGTCCAGAATAGGCTAATCTATAGGGACAAAAATTAGTGATTGTGTAGGGCTGAGGGTAGGTGTGAGCAGAAATGGAGAATGATTGCTAATCAGCATAGGTTCAAGGTTTCTTCTGGGGGTGATGAAAATGTTGTAAAATTGATTGTGGTGATGGTTGCACAACTCTGTGAAGACACTAAAAACAATTTAATTGTATTCTTTCAATGGGTGAATTGTATAGTGTGTGACTAACACTTAATAAAACTGTTATACATATTTTTTAGAAGTATTAATACATAGTCCTTCACCCAGCTTTCCCCAGTGGTGACATCTTAAATAGCTGAGTATAATATTAATAGCAAAACCAAGAAATTGACATTGGTACATTACTGTTAACTAGACAACAGACCGATATGCCACTCTTTGTAAAGGCACTCTTCTACTTCCTACTTTATACACCTCTGTTCCAACTGTTTATAACGTCAATAAAAATAATAAAATTGTTCCTATTTTTTTAAATGTCTTCAATAATGAAAGATAATCAGCCTTTAAATAAAAAAAGGAAGAGTTCAAGAGATGTTAAAAGTAAAATACGAGAAGATATGGTTTTAGGTTAGTTGAAGAACAAATAGAAAAGAAAAAAAAAACTACAACATAGTTGTTTCCTTATTTGGGAGTTCAATGATAAAAGGTGGTCCATTACAAGAAGGGCAAGTGAACATCAGAAAAGAAAGCTCTGGCAAGTCACATTACATGGTGAAAGAGAATGATTCTGAGTTTTTAAGTTTCGAAGGGGCCAGATCCTGCTGATTTAAGAATAATTTAAGCATTTTCCAAGAGTATTTTGACCACCTATGATTTTTTTACCTATGATTTTTGACTCACATGTCTACTAAAGAACCTGAGCCCTGTGTAAGATACTCTCCTCCATTGTTCAGAGATGGGCAATTCTTTCATGTGCCTTGTAACTTGATGATAAGCTCTCTAATTGTACCTTCTTGTGGCCATTGTTCTCTCACCAAGAGGCAGCCCTTGCCCAAACCTCCCTCCAATCACAGATAAATGGATTCAATGTGGCCACCTGACCCCTGGACAGCTAACCCATAGGTTGGTTTGGTAGAAAGAATAATGGCTCCCAAAGATGTCCATGTCTTAATCCCTGAAAACTGTGGGTATATTACCTTATATGGCAAAAAGGACTTTGTGGGCATGATTAAGTTAAAGATTTTGAGATGAGAAAATTATCCTGGACTATCCCAGTGGGCCTGATATAACCACAAGGGTCCTTATAAGAGGGAAAAGGGGGGAGGATTGAAAAAAAAAAAAATAAGAGGGAAAAGGAAGGAGAGCAGAATCAGAGATGTGACCACTGAAGTAGAGGTTACAGTGACACAGGCCATGAGTCAAGAAATGTGGGTAGCCTCTAGAAGCTGGGAAAGGCAAGAAAATGGGTTCTTCCCAGACCCTCCAGAGGGAATGCAGTCCTGCCAACACCTTGATTTTAGCCCTGTGGGACCAATTTTGGATCTCTGGTCTCCAGAACTACAGATAATACATTTGTGTTGTTTAAAGCCACTAAGCTAATAGTAATATGTTATAGTAGCAATAGAAAATGAACGTAGTTTGTCTGTAACCTATGAAATAGTTTTAAAAAAACAGAAAAATTGGGCCAATTTCCCTATCTTGGCAATCTGATTGTAAGCACTGAGACTCTTAGTAGCAAAGGTAAACTGGCGGAGATGTGTTTGTCATGGCCATGAGATGAAGTTAGAAGTAAAGAAGAGACTATGTGACCTCTGAGAGAAGCAAAGCAAGAAGCCAGCCCCTAGATTATTTACTGAAACTAAGGTCCTTGTGCCTAATAGTTTATTAGTTGCAGTCCTAGGCAACATACATCTTTTCCAAAAAATCTCCTTTATCTAGAGGTAGCATAAGTGAAATCTGTTCTTTTCACAAAGAGATCAACTAGAGTAAAGGTCTCATATATAGCCTCCCTTGTAAACTGAATCTGAGAGAATTTCCAATCCTATCTTATTATCTTCAAGCTTCATGTACCACTGGGAAGTGATCTGGACATTTGAAGAACCTGACTAACCACATGTGCTACTATTATAAATATATTCCTTCTATAACATTCCTTAATAACACTAGTGAATAAAAATAAAGGTAATCTGTAATTCACAGGTATCAAGATATAATTGCTCATTTATCAATCATAAGGACTATACAATAAAATTCAGATGCAATGACATAAAAATATGAAAATAACGTTATTTTTCTTGACCAAGTCACAAGTTTCTGATTCTTACCATATAAGGATCCACAGAAAGATAAAGAGTCCTAACTCGTACTTGTCTTTCATTGATATTATCTGGTAAGTTGACTTCTTCCATTCGGAAATTCTCTGCCACTGGATTACCATTTTTTCCTAAAATATTAGGCAAAATATAAAGTTGAAAATCTACTTTCTTGTATAATTATTATTTTTTAAAAGGTCACCCTAGGACTCAGAGTACTTTCTTTTAAAACAGACATGAATAAGTTTACATTGTTTTGTAATTTCTCTGTAGAAATGACTCAGTATAAATGTTTTCAAATAGTTTTGATGGTACTGGATTTTTTCAAAGAAGTTCTTTGGGAATACTGCTGTCAACTTCAAATTTCCTTTTTAAAAATCGTTACAGGTAAATCACCTCATCTGTTTTAAAATTATAGAAGAAATCCTAAAAGTGGAAAATCACACCCAGCTCTTCGCTAATTATGAAAATTAAAATTTACATTGTAACAGAAGCACCATATCAGCCAAAGTAAAAAGTTAAGTAAATTTTCCTTTTTCATTTTAAGAAGCAAACAGTAACTTGATGTATGTACTTTAAAAAAAAAGTAAAGTCTGGAAAATTAGGAAATTAGAAAATCTGAGGTATAAGAAAAATTTATAAGCAGGAAATGTAATCACTAAAAGTGTACTCATCTTCAGTTTCTGTTTAACAAAGCAAACTTCCTGTCCAAAGAATCATTCAATTTCTAAGGTGGGAATAGAATGTAAAGTTCTTGATCTAACGGCTCACTATACTCAATCCGAGGTCAGGAAAGTTAAGTGACTGCCCCTGATCACACAGTAGGTGGGCAGCAAAACCAAGGCAATAGTGGACCCAGAAGCTTCCATGATGCAGGTTATGTGTCAACACTGATATAAGTCGGTATGTTTCAAAGCAAAATTTTATGAGCCACTAATACATGCTACAAAGAAAAAAACAAAAGCTGTACATATTGTAAAATAACATCTCAAATGTTATAATGATTCCAAAATACCTTATCAACAAATGGCCTTGATAAGTTATCATTTGAAAAACTTAATATTACACTGTTTAAAGAGTTTCTTCTAATATCTTTACTAGTGTTAATATATGACTACCTTAATTTACCACACTGATATCACTCCATTTGCATTATAATTTTCAAAGACTATAATTGTTCATTCATCACAGAAATACATACCAGGTCGAGAATTCAATACCACTCTTTGTACAATCATCACCCTGTTTGTGCAGCGGTCTCACAAGATTTCTGTATAAAATAACTCCTATAAATAGAAAAATTTTTAAATCATAAGTAAAATTGAAGTATTCAAAAATTTAAAAATAAAAAGGAAGTCCATTAGTGTTTCTGAATGAAGAAGGGAAAAATTATATTTAGGATCCAAAAAAGATAAACATTCTTCTTAGAGTTTGCCTCCTAAAGCAAATATACGAAGAAAAACTAAATCTAGTCAGAATTTGTAGCTAACAGTAACAAATTCATTGGAGATTGAGTGTGGTAAAGTGTTTTTGGCCTCAGATATTCGAGCACGTTCATCTTCGCACCATCACGACTATGCATCCTCCTACTACAGCTTGATTAAATGAAAACAACAAGATATATTCCTCCAGAGCTAGCCAGTTAATCTAGTGGCAAAATAAAAACACTAACTGCTTAATTGAGATGCATCCAAATTTTCAAAGGTTCTTTTATTCACTTATAAAAATAGAAATTCCTTAACAGTTTTGCTGATTGTAAAAGGAATACATCAAAGGCATTTTAATATCCTAACCTTTAGGAAATTCTGTAACACAGAATGGCCAAATAAGTAAAGGATCAGTTTACTTTGCATTTATAATTTGAAAGAAGCAAAATGAAGTTCCAGTGCTGGCACTGATTTGTGGAAAATAGCTTTGCTTACTTTCTCACCAGTAAAAATGAGAAAATCACGCCTGTCATGTGCTTTATACAGTCAGGCATCAATTAATGATGGAGATACATTCTGAGAAATGTGTCATTAGGCAATTTCACCCTTGTGCATACATCATAGAGGGTATTTACACAAACCTATGAGAGGGTACTTATATGGTATAGCCTATTGTCTCCAGGTTACAAACCTGTACAGCATGTTACAGTACTCAATACTGTAGGCAACTGGAACACAATGTATTTGTGCATCTAAACATAGAAAAAGTACAAAATACAGTATAAAAGATAAAAAAAACAGTACACCTAGATAGGGCACTTACCATGAATAGTCCTTACAGGACTAGAAGTTGCTCTGGGTGAGTCAGTCAGTGAGTAGTGAGTGAGTATGAAGGTCCAAGACATTACTGGACACTACTGCAGATTTTATAAACACTATACATTTATGCTACACTAAATTTATTAAAAAATAAATACACTATGATGTTACAATGGTTATCACTAGGCAAGAGGAGTTTTTCAGCTCCATTATAATCTTATGGGACCACCATCATCATATGCAGTCCACCATCGACAGAGCTATCACTATGCAGCATATGACTGTATTCATAATCTCATTGGTTGTGAAAGAAATGGCTAGTTGCCCTCAGTATTCATTCTCTCCTTCCAGACGTGATGGTGCCCAGCTAAAAGACTACATTTTCTAGCTTTCCCCTAAAGCAAATCCCAGACATTATTCTGTTTCACCCAAAAATCCTTCAGTTAGGCATCTCTGATAATGGATTGCTTCAAATATAAACACTATGCCATTATTACACCTAACAGAATAGCACAGGCAATTACTTAACATCATGTAAAACCTAGTGCATATTCAAATTTTCTGATTGTCTCAAAGATGTCTTTTTACATTTGGTTTCATTAAAAACAGGATTCAAGATACACATACTACATTTTGAGTCTCCCTCCCTTTTTATTTCATGCCACTGATTTATTTCTTCATTCCTTTGTCTGTAAAATGTCCTCTGATTGCCTCCTCATGATGTCATTTACCTTGTTCTTTTACTTCCTCCCCTTGCTGGTGACTGATAGTTAGATCTAGAGGTTAGATTAGCTTCAGGTTCAATTTTTCAGGCAAGAAATTTTAAAGGTGGTTACATCCTACTTCATCACATCAAGAAGTCCATGATGTCTTGTAGGGCTACATACATCTTAAAAAGGAAATTTTCTATTGAATCACCATGTGTATAAATTACATAATGATTAAAAAGCAAAGTTTTTCCAAATTCGTGGGTCCAAACTGTCCTTAAGTGGTTATTAATAGCACTATGATGGCTAAATTTTTAATCAAAGGAGTATTTCCAAATGAAGTTTACTATTTACCCTCCTTTCTACTTTCTTTTTTTCTCTCTTCTTTCTTTCTTTTCTCTCTCTCTCTCTTTCTTTCCTTCTTCTTTTTTTTTTCAGAGACAGGGTCTCTCACTCTATTTCCCAGGCTGGAGTGCAGTCATAGCTCACTGTAACCTTTAACACTTGGGCTGTAGCAATCCTCCCACCTCAGCCTCCCAGAACACTGGAATTACAGGCAGGAGCCACTGCATCCAGCCTTCTAATACTTCAATAGCATGATTAACTTCTTAAAATAATATTGAAGCCAAGGCACCGCTCACCCTGTAATCCTACCACTCCTGGAGGCCGAGTGGGTGATTGCTCAAGTCAGGAGTGTGAGACAAGCCTGAGCAGACCTCTCTACTAAAAATAGAAAGAACGAATGACCAACTAACAAATAAATAACAAAAAAAAAAAAAATTAGCCAGGCATGTGTGCATGCTGTAGTCCCAGCTACTTGGAGACTGAGGCAGTAGGATGCTTGACCAGAGATTGAGTTGCTGTGAGCTAGGCTGATGCACGGCACTCATCTACCTGACAACAAGTGAAGACTCTGTCCCCCCCCAAAAAAACAAAAAACGAATATTGTAGATTTGTCCAAATACTGCTTGTCAGCATGAAAAGTACACTATTAAAGTTCTTTCCCTCTGTATTAAATCAGACAGTTTTCAAGTATCAAATATCACAATTAACTAATGTAGGATAATTTCACAATATACCTCAATATCATGGACTTAATGAACACTGCATACTTAGGCTACATTAAATTTATTAAAAAAGTAAAGTAAGTATGCTATGACATTATGATGTCATCACAAGGCAAGAGGAATTTTTTCAGCTGCATTATAATCTTTTTTATTTTTTTTGAGACAGAGTCTTACTCTGTTGCCCAGGCTAGAGTGTCGTGGTGTCAGCCTACCTCACAGCAACCTCAAACTCCTAGGCTCAAGCAATCCTACTGCCTCAGCCTCCCAAGTAGCTGGGACTACAGGCATGCGCCACCATGTCTGGCTAATTTTTTCTATATGTTTTTAGTTGGCCAATTAATTTATTTCTATTTTTAGTAGAGATGAGGTCTCGCTCTTGCTCAGGCCGGTTTCCAACTCCTGACCTCGAGTGATCCTCCCGCCTCGGCCTCCCAGAGTGCTAGGATTACAGGTGTGAGCCACCACGCCCAGCTTGCATTATAATCTTATATAAACTACTGTCTCATATTTGGTCTGTCAAATACTGCTTATCAGCATGAAAAGTACAAACAATGCATTAAAAATAAAAAGAACTTGATTTTGTCACAAAATTGACATCTAAAATAAGACACCAAGTTGAAGATCCAGAAGGAGAAGGGAGTGGTGTTGAATTCATGCTGGGTGTGGGGGAAAAAACTCAGCAAATCATATTTGCCTGGTGTATTAAGTGGGTCCCTAATTGATGCTAAGTAATATTCCAAAATAATACCACATGGATGACTCAGCTAAAAAATTTGCACTGGTGCGGGTCATAAAGAGTGTATTATCTGAGTGTCTACCTTGCAGCCTAATAAAAGGGAAAGATTATTGAACTAGGAAGAGCAGAGTACACTTCCTGGTTCTAACCAGGTGTGATCTTGGAAAAGTTGCTTCTCGCAGTCTGTTTCCTGAATATTCCTAAGTGCCAGAAACTGAGGTAAAGAATTTTTATTCATTATCTTGTTTAAACCTCCCCTCCCCAACAACCCTATGAGGTTGGTAATATCATCTTTTTTTATAGATGAGAAAAGGGAGGTACGTAGAGATAGAATAATATGTCCAAGGTTGCACAACTTGTAATAATAACATCAAACACAGCATGTACCATTTCCAAAACATGAGCTCCTAAATTTTTTTTTTTTAAAGATACAGGGGTCTCACTCTGTTTCCCAGGCAACAGAGTGTTATGATAGCTCACTGCACCCATGAACTCCTGGGCTCAAGCTGATCCTCCTCCTGTCTCAATCTCCTGAGTAGCTGGGACTACAGCCACCATTTTCTGTCTTTCTTTCTTTTTAGAGACAGGGTCTTGCTATGTTGCCCAGGCTTGTCTAGAACTCCTGGCCTCAAGCAAATCCTTCCATCTCACCCTCCCAAAGTGCAGGGCTAACAGGTGAGAACTACTGCCTGATGAAATGTCTTCTCCCTTTTTATGAGGTGTCTTTTTTTTTTTTTTGTAATGAACACAGGGTCTCGTTCTGTCACCCAGGCTGGAGTGCAGTGGTGCAATCATAGCTCACTGAAGACTGACAACTCGAACTCCTGGGCCTAATACCTTTTCATAAAGCACTTCTCTATCCTTATCTTATTCAATTATTCAGTCATTTGTGGACCACGACCGTTATAAAAAGTGCCTTTCCGATTCTCCCTACTGGTCCTCTTCTCTCCTTTGGGTCTTTTTATTTCTTTCTTTCTCTCTCCAAGTCTTGCATGTGGGGATTCCTGCACGGACCTCGCCATCCTCTAAGGCTCCCACTACCACAACCACTAACATAGCAATTACTAATAATCTACGTCTCCAATCCAGAATTTCAAACTGACTCCTCGGATCATCAGTGCGAAGAGGATGAGAATCTGTGTCTGCTTTGTTCAATGATTATGTCCACCCTCTCCCTGGCACAAGGTAGGTGCTGACTAAATATGTGTTAAATGAAAGTCCCAGCGGCACTTCAAACACGATTACATCCAAACTAGAGGTTGCTTACCCCCATCAAAGAACCACCATCAAAGAACCCTGCTTCTTTCTATAGCATTCCCTGTCCTAGCGTCCTAAGCAGTAACGCCAGCGCCGCCGACAGCTCCGGAAGGAAGCCTGGAAGTCAACCTGGTTCCGAGTTGCCTCCCTCACTAAGTGGGCCCAACCCACCTTCAGGAGCCCCAGCCCCCGCGGCCCGTCGCGCGTCGCTCACCGTCGTGGAGCTCCGAGAGGAGCGGGGATCTCGCGTGATTTGCCTGGAAGAGGGGCTGGGAGCACTACCCGAGCTCGCGGCACTACCTCCGCCCCCGCGGAGCGCAATACGCAGGCGCACAACTAGGCCGGGCTCTGCGCCCTTTCCCTTCCTAGGAGTGGGGTTTTGAGTTTTGAAGTTTAAGGACAGTTCCTGAGCACCCCGCAACTCCGAATTTCTGTGAGAGGAGGGGCAAGTACGAGCTTCTAGGGATAGTCGTCTGGGCAAAGTGCCTTAATAAATCAACAGAGATTGGTGCCCTTGGCCACCCTTACTGCCTGTACTCAGAGCAAATCGTTCAACCTTGACCTTGAGCAGCATCCTTTTTTTTTTGAAACAGTTTCGCTCTGACTGACACCGCTACAGTGCCAGTGCAATGTCGTCAGCCTAGCTCACAGCAACCTCAAACTCCTGGGCTCAAGCAATCCTCCTGCCTCAGCCTCCCTAGTAGCCGGGACTACAGGCATGTGCCACCAAACCCGGCTATTTTTTCTATTTTTTGTAGAGACAGGGGTCTTACTCTTGCTCAGGTGGGTCTCGAACTCCTGAGCTAAAGCGATCACCCGGCCTCAGTCTCCCAGAGTGCTAAGATTGCAGGCGTGAGCCACCTGGCCTGGCCACATCTGGCAGTTTTGCAGGAATTTTATTCATTTTATGGATGTCTGAGGTTCCCCCAGAACCTCGGATTGGGAGTTATAGTGAGAGAAGAACCGTCAAGCTTATCCCTTATTTTATAGATGGGGAAACTGAGACTCAGAGAGCTGACATGTTGGGAGCATCCACATTTCAGCTGATTAGGGCAGTGCTGGGATTAAAAACTCTCTAGATTGCTGGCCCAAGGCCCTTTTGCACATCTTTAAAGACAAGGCCTAGTATTTATTTCACAAAGAATCCCAAATCCCTCAAAGATAGATTACCCAGAGTGGGCTGATTTCTCAATTTCATTAATTATTAATCTCCTCCTTTTGTGCTGGGCTGGGTTGAGCTAGGTGTATTCATAGGAGAGATTTGGATCCCAAGGGACTTCAAACCCTGAGAGATACCATCCTGAACTAGGAATGTATAAGAATTGCTGTTTGACTCCCAGTCCAAGGTTAATTCCATAATACAAAAAAAAAAAGAATTGCTGTTTACATTGTACTCATGTCGGAGCTACTAAATGACTCTACTAAAAATAGAAAGAAAATTAGCTAAAAAAAAAAAAACCAAATTTCCTACCTGAGTCCAATCACCTAACCCTTTGCTGTATTTGCCATAAATCTGGAATTCCTTACTCTTCTCCCTCTGCAGACCTTTGTACTGCTGCCCTTTCATCATTCAAACAATTTCTGAGATAATCATTTTCTAGACTAAACTCAGGGATATGTCAATTTTTCTCATTTCTACTGTATCCAAAAATATATGGCATTTATTGTTTCATTTAAACATAGTAAATATGTTAGTATATTCATTCATTAAATTATTTTTAAATTAAAATGACCTCATATGATTGCCTGTATAGTCAACTCTTGTCATATTGCAAATTACTCAGGAGAAATAATTCAAGTCTGTCTCACCTGCATGATATATAGCACTTAGTGTAACATCAAAGATAATTTGGTGCTAAATAAATATCTTTCCATGGAGGTGATAATTGTTCATAATGACATAAATGCAAACCCAAACATATATCCTAGAGAAATAACACAACAACGTAGGAGATAAAAGCCACACCTGTGTCTCCCCTATTAGTCTGTGAGACACTCAAGGTCCATGTATTATTAACTGTGTATTTCTCTATCTTTCAGCACCTTTCATTATATCAGGCCTAGAAGAAGGTGCTTAATAAATGTTGGTTGCATGGATAAATGTCAGTTGCATAGATAAATG